GACCCATGTTAATGATCCTTCTGCAGGTTCACCTATGGAAACCTTGTTACAACTTCCTCTAGATAGTCAAGTTTGATCGACTTCTCGGCACTAGGCTGAGGCCCCGCGAGGGTGCCCCGACCATGGCTGATCCAAGAACCTCACTAAACCAGTAGTAGTAGTAGCAACCAGTGTGTACAAAGGGCAGGGACTTAATCAATGCGAGCTTATGACTAGCGCTTACAAGGAATTCATCATTCATGGGGAAGAACTGCAATCTCAATCACGAACAGGGTTCCGCAGATTACCCTCCGATCCGTTCATTGTTGTGCACACACAGCCCAACAGCAGCGTCCTGTGGGCAGTGTCCTGTGACCACTGTCCTGTGACCACTGATGAAGGACTAGAGGATGACCAACACAAACTGTGCACGCACCCCAGGATGGAACGAATTCCTTTTGAACCACGGTGATAGCTCCAACAGAACCGGAGATCTATAGAAACATCACACGCCCACAAACCATATACTGTTCGGAAGGTCTCTTCGGTCCGCTTCCAAATTTGAAGGTGCTCGTTGTCCATCTAGTACTGGTTCCAAGATGGGAAAGTTCCCAGAGCCCATAACTGAAACTTTGCACCCCTTCTACTCCCCCTTTCTCTCTCCGATCTGGACAGCCTTATAGTCCTCTTCTTTCCAACAAGACTGGTCCCGACCTTCTAGCCTCTGTGGAACCAGACATACGGACCTCCAAAGATCAAAACTTCCAGGCTGAATAGCTCCCCCGCAGGCACGTGCATCAGGACCAAAACTGTTGGCAGGAGGGGCTGCTGCCCCTCTAGTAATCCACTCATTTGCATTTTGACAGCCTGCTCCCTTATGAAGTTCCATGGAAGTTCTAGCCTCAGATTTCAGGCGTGCTTTTGTTCTAAGCTCCCAAGCTCACTTTACACCCTGTTAAAACATCTCCTGCCCTTTCCAATGACCCTATATAAGCCCCAGAACATAGCATTTTATCCAGGGGACTTTAAAAGCTTAGCAGAGTCCTCCAGAATATACCACTGCCACCAAAGTTCACCAGCTCTCACAGCAGACCCATCTATTTATCAAGTGGAAACCCCCGAGTGAATATACTACCCCATTTCCAAAAAGGTTGAGACACTGTGCAAAATGTAAATAAAAATAGGATGCAATGATATGCAAATTATGTATGTATGGGTGCATGTTTACCACTGTGTTTCATCATCTCTTCTTTTAACAACACTCTATAAACATTTGGGAAATGAGGAGACTGACTGCTGTAGTTTTGAAAATGAAATATTTTTACATTCTCGTTTCATATGGGATTTCAGCTGCTCAACAGTTCAGGGTCTCCTTTGTCATATTTTTCATTTCATGATGCGCAAAACCAAAAAAATTATACTCATGCTACTGACCTGTTGCCACTTTATCACAATTTTTTTTTTTTTGCATTACACAACTTTACCAGTCTTTCGTTGCCCCCGTCCAAACTTTTTGGGGACATGTTGCTGGCATCAATTTCAAAATGGGCATACATTTTTCAAAAAACAACAAAAATGTATTATATATGAACCTACATACAAACATATATTCATAAACATTTGATGTATTGTCTTTGTACTATTTTCAAATTAAATATAGAGTTTAAATGATTTGCACGTCATTGCATTTAGTTTTTATTTATATTTTTTTGTAAATGGGGTTGTATATGAAGAGTGGCCATTGAAACAAGCTATCATTAGGCTGTAAAAATCATTACCGACCGCCACAGGAAGCGATGAAAGTGGTGCAAGAGACCACGCAAACGTGGCACTTGAGCGGGTATTAACACTAGGCTAAAGCTAACCCCCACAGACCTGCGCTTCCATTGATTCTGCTGTCAAATGTCCACTTACTGGAAAACAAAATGGACTATTTAAGACTGGATTTAACCACCCAATGCAAGGTGAGAGACATGGCTTAATTCCAGTATTCCCAATAGTGCCATTAGCGTGGATGGGCTCACAACATTCCGTCTAGACAGGAGCCACACTCTCAGTGGTAAATCTAGGGGAGGGGGTGTATATGTTTACATCAACAACTTGTGCAATAACGCCAGAATTGTCTCGAGCCACTGCTCAGAAGATATAGAGCTCCTGATGCTAAAATGTCAACCATTTGCTAATGTCAGCCATTAGAATCACAGCTGTTTACATTCCCCCCAGTGATAGCTCAAAAGATGCATTATCCACACTGTACCAGTCCATCAGTACAATGCAAAATGCCAACCTGGACTGTGTTTATGTCATCGCTGGAGACTTAAATCAGGCCAACCTGAGGTCAGTACTACCAAATTACTACCAAAATGTGGACTTTGCAACCAGGTGAGAAAACACACAAGATCAGGTTTACACAAACATCAGAACAAGCATTCGGGCAGCCCCCCACCCTCACCTTGGAAATTCAGACCATCTCTCCGTTATGCTATTTCCAGCATACAGGCCACGGTTAACCAAAAGCAAGCCATCTGTGAAGCAGATAAGGACCTAGTCAGAGGGAGCAGCATCAGCGCTTCTGGACTGTTTTGAATGCACTGACTGGAATCTGTTCAGAGAGTGTGTTCACCATCAACCAATACATCAATCCGGGGGAGTATGCCAAGTCTGTGAAGGGATTCGTATCCAAGTGTGTGGAAGATGTGACCATCATCAAGAATATCACCACACATGCCAACCAGAAACCCTGGCTCACCAGAGAGGTACATGTTTCTGAGAGCATGTAATGCTGCCTTCAAGCCTGGGAACAAAGACGCTCATAGATCTGCTAATTTGAACGGTAGTGTAAGAGCAGCAAAGCTTGCTTCTGGTCAAAAAATCTAGAGTCACTTCAAGTCAAGAGTCAACTCAAGAGTCAAGAGGCTTTTATTGTCATTCCATCTATGTACAAGTACACAGTGGAGTGAAATTGCATTCCTCCAGGAACAAGGTGCAACAAGGAACAAAAAGTACAAAGTGCGAACGTGCAGACAGTGTGCAAACAAAAAATTAAGCTAGAAACAATACAATAAATATGATAAATTAAACAGACATTAGGCACAGTAAACAGACAGGACAGTGCAGCACCGACACAGCACTCATTTCTGAGCATGAAGTAGTGGAATAAGGTGCAGAGGTTTTTAACATGCTGTGATCTGCGAGTTTACACAGTCAGATAACATACGTGAGCACAGCGGTTACTGAGGTAGTGAAACAGTGTAAACACAGCATTAGCAGCAATGTTCCAGATTGTGCAAGTAGTGCATCAAAAGAGGGGTGTTGGGGGGGGGGGTTAGTTCAGCCCTTGTGAATTTAAAAACTTGATTGCTTGAGGGACAAAGCTGTTGCAGAGTCTGGCAGTGATGGCACGGATGCTCTGGTACCTTCTGACTCAAAAGACCCCAGGTGCTTGTGGCAAGGTGTCCAGTCCATCACAGACTACAGGTCCCCTATGCCACCACCCTGTGATGACAACACTGACTTCCTCAACACACTTAAGACTTACTTCAGCCAGTTTGAGGAAAAGAATGCTGCCACAGTAACAAAAGCCCCTCTCAGTCTGGACGATGAAGTACTCTGTCTCGACCCAGCTGACATCCGAAGGACCATACACAGGGTCAACCCACGAAAAGCTGCAGGTCCTGACAACATACCAGGGTGTGTACTCACGGTGTGGGCTGACTAACTGACACACGTCCTCACAGACATCTATAACATCCCCCTGAGCCAAGCCATCCCTTGGGCCACTCCTATCATACCACTGCCAAAGAAGTCACCAGCATCAACACTCAATGACTACCACCCTATAGCACTTACTCCCATCATGATGAAGTGCTTTGAAAAGCTGGTCAGAAATCACATCCAGACTACCGACAACACTCGACCCACTCCAGTTTGCATACTGCCTTAACCGATCCACTGATGATGATGCCATATCAGTAGCACTTCACCTGAGTCTGGCCTATCTGGAGAATAAGAAGAGTTATGTGTGGATGCTTCTCATTTACTTCAGCTCTGCCTTCAATACAGTCATCCCCATGTACCTGGTAAGAAAACTTGGCCCATTAGGCATCAACACCCCACTGTGCAACTGGTTACTGGACTTTCTCACAGACAGACTCTAGACAGTATGAGTTGGAATAAACACCTCTAAAACCATCATCGTGAACATTGGAGTTCCCCAGGGCTGTGTGCTGAGTCAAACCACAGTATTTCGCAGACAATACAACAGTGGTGGGCCTCATTAGCAAGACTCGGCCTACAACTCCACCGCATTACCATTGATTGTAAGTGGAGTATGTGCTTCCCCCTGAAGTCGACAATAATTTCCTGTGTCTTCTTGACATTCAGTAACAAGTTGTTATTGATGCACCAGACGATTAGTTTGTTCACTTCCTCTCTCTATCATTAGAACCCTGTATTCTACATAAAAATGCAGCTATTTTTTCTGTGCAATATACATTTTTTAATGTTCTCATCACTTGAGCACTTTATCACTATTACCAGGGTCAGGTTTACATTTCCTGTTACACTGTGCAAAAATATTATCACTGAGAACAATGTGCAATATTTCTTTTTAATATGTGTGTATATACTTTTTTTCTTTCCTGTACATATGTTTTTATGTCTGTCTGTGCTGTCTAGTATGTCTTTAATATTTTTGTATATTTTGCACCTCAGAGTTGGGGAAACGCAATCTTGTTCAGCTGCGCACTCCGTGTTGTATACTCTGATGACAGTAAAGTTCACTTGGACTGTGACTTAATTTAAAAGTCCTTTTTAAAATGTTTGCATTATATATATATATATATATATATATATATATATATATATATATATATATATATATATATATATATATATATAAAACACATTCACCAAATATTTCGTACGTCTGAGTTCAACGCTGCAACGCTGTGTGAAGTGAAAGTGAAAGTAACCGCGCTTAGACCGTGAGGAGAATCTAACGGTTTCACTAGAGAGCCACGTGGGAGAGTTAATCGCAATAGCGGATCAAGGAGGAGAAAAATCCAAGCTGAGGAATCAAACACATCGTCTCTTCGGTCTTCTGTAAACAATCAGGTGAGTGGATCACTAATTCTACCTTTCTGTGAACAGGCGAAGACTTTTCCGCACTAGTTTTTAACGCCATTAGACCATTTTTAGTCCGCTTCTTTCTGATAACTTCCTGATCTTGCTAGAGGCCTAACAGGAGACCTAAATTCAGCCTGAAACCTGAACTGAAAAACATAAACATACTAATGTAAGCTTTTCTTTTACAGTGAATAACGTAGATTTTTGAAGTTTAGCCCGAGAATCATGAGCGTTGTACGGTATAACTTGTACCAGAATGGCAAACTAATGAGGCTGAAGTTAAACTGCTTATCGGAAGGTTGTATACGACAAATTCAGCGCTACGTCACAGCAACAAAGAACTTAATTCTGGAGAACGCTGGTTAGGCCGCTCTGGTAAAACAGGATTTTGTACTAAATCCAGGATTTTTGTACCAAACTATTGGAGAAAACGAAAATGAAGCTGTGATGGAACTTCTGAGAGATCGGTAAAGTTAGGTTGATACTGGATATTCAGCGGATGTGCGCGTGTCGCCCCTCCTATCGCTCACAAACAACCTGTTAAATTTCTGAAATAACATTTTCTAAATCGGGATAAAACAGACAACAAACTACAATCATTATATTTCGTTCAAGTACCCGATCTTTCTTTCCATTTCGCCGAGTAGATTTAAATAAATAAATTTTGTAAAATATCTTTTCTACAAAAAAATGTTACTGTGTCATATCCATACGACACTTGTATTGTTCAGAGACACACCTGACAAACATAACACAACCTTTATTTTTGTAAAATATGCCTCGACTGGATTTTAATGAAGTTTTTATAGAAATAAATTACGACTGTGACACATCCATATGACTTACAGATATAAAATCCTTTGTAATGTACAGAGACACACCTGACAAATATACCACAACCTTAAGTTTGGTAAAATATGCCTCAACTGAATTTAAATGAATTTTTATAGAAATAAATCACTACTGTGTCACATCCACACTACATGCACTACATGAACGTTTAGACGGCCTAAATTGCTAAATACTTGAAAATCAGATATTGATTTTCACATCATCTTTCTATTTCAGTAGGTTTCATGTCTTTATAAACAGCACCAACAGGCTCCTTATGTATGTGGATGTTTTACGTTTTTAAGCAGTACCAGCACTTTACCGACCGTCCCTTACCGTTTTCGGCGCTTGCTGCAGCGATTCCGGCTATTTTGATCAAATCTACTCGGCGAAATGGAAAGAAAGATCGGGCACTTTAACGAAATACAATGATTGTAGTTTGTTGTCTGTTTTAGCACGACTTAGAAAATGTTATTTCAGAAATTTTAACAGGTTGTTTGTGAGCGATAGGAGGGGCGACACGCGAATATCCGCTGAATAGCCAATATCAGCCTAACTTTACCGAGCTAATACTGAGTTAGTATGTACCTCTACACGTTCGTTATTAATGGTAAACGTAAACGTGCTCCTAATGTCGTTGCTGTTAATATTGGCAAACGTGTGGTACTAAAGCTGTTCTGGTCACATTAAATTCTATTTTAAACTGATTTTCCTTTTCCCATTCATTTTCACTGCAGAGTTTAATGGAAAAACATATTTTTGTAAGTAGCCTATATTTAACCCCTTAAATCCCAGGGTTATTACATACTAAATCTTATTCAGTAACTACACACACTACAAGAGAAACTAGATGAGTTATTCTCAGGTTTTAAAAGAGCATAGTAAAACCTTGGGCCCTCCTGTGGGCCCTGCCCTGGTGCAAAAGGACCTTTAGAAACCATTAGGATTAAAACCTAATGGTTTTGCTTTCTCATGGGAATTGGCTTAATGGTTTATAATAGAGACCACTAGTTTCCTGTAGAACCCTTTGAGATCCTATCAGGAAAATGCATTTAGAATCAGCCAGTGGTCACCTGTTCAAGATTCAAGATTCAAGATTCTTTGTCATTGCACAGGGTACAACCAAATTGGGTAGCAAACCTAATGGTGCTTCAACACAAACTATTAAACGATTAGGATCCTTTGCATTGTGATCTCAATCCATTAAAAAAGCCAAAACTCGTTACAAAATCGTAAGGGGCCAACAGAAACACCTTTTGGTTTCTATGTGTTTTTTTTCACCAGAGTGCCTATTTTAGAGGTTAATATGCTGTATTAATGCTAATAGCTGTTACGTTAGCGCCAGGCTAATAATGTATTTACTGGGATTCAGATTTCAGCAGCTCTTCTAGGGAAAAAACTAAACCTGAACTAGTAAGTTGTTGTGTTTACATGTTACATCTCTAATCTTGTTTCCTGGCTGTAGATGGGGATGAGAGGAACTTTTTTACTCTAAAAATAGGTACCTTATTCCCCCCAAAACATTTGACATGACAGCCTCCAGCACAACAATATTTTACCATAAGTGACCATATTTTGGTTCAGTCTGTTCTGTTTGTATTTACCACTACTTTAAATGAGCTGTTTCTACCACTGACTGGATGCACTATTCACCTGGAAGTGTAGCCAATGTTCATATTTACACACATTCTGATTTGATTTATATCAGATGCTTAACTAGCAATTATGACTAAACCCTGTTAGGTACTAGATACGCACACAATATCAAAAAAGAAAGTGTGGTGATCTGGAGAAAAATATTCTGCCTTTTCTTTATTGTGTTAAAAAGCACGTAGATCTAATAGAAGCACATCAGGTATATATTTTTCTCATTCACTGCAAATTTAGCCCTTTTCACTTATTAAACTCATGTATTGTCTAGAATCCTGATTTTACCAGTTGTAAATATGATGTTGTCAGGCATTCAAGCACAATTTACAAGTGGGAAAACTGGCATTACTCAGTTTCCAACACCACTTAAACACAGCGTTAGTTTCATATTCAAACTTCCTGTTCCACCTTAAATGTTGCTGCAGTTACATTCTGAAGCCTGTAGATGTCTTAACACTGAGAATTGCATTTGTAAATAAAATGCTGTGTAAATGTTCTGAATAAAAAGAAAACACAGATATGTAGTGACTGTCCACATTAAAATTTGAAGTCAGAATATCCATCACCTTTTCATATTCAGCGTTGTGTGAAATACTGTAAGTAAATAAAAGAAAAAATTGAAGTTGTACTTCTTTGCTATGGACTTACCATACAACTATTATTTATTATTAAGTCTCAAAATTATGAGAAAATTATGAGAAAATTTGCAATAGCACTATTGTTTTTATACACAGTGAGCAGTAAATGCATTGTCTGCTTGATTGCTCTAAATAGCTTGTGGTTGTAACTTTTCAAGTCTACTATGAATCTTTCTTGCACCATATTTATCATGGCCTTCTTGAACATCTGACAATACTAATTGCAAAGGTTTCTGAAGTAATTTTTATTGTTGTCCTAGTTTAGGGTGTGAGACTAGAGTGAGGGGACATTGCACTTCTTTGTTTTTGTTCAGGTCCTAGGCCCATATTTATTTACGTGTAATGTAGTCTATGTAATCAGTGACAGACTCAGGTTGTCTGAGGGGCAGGGGCAAAAAATAGGGCATCTACTGCTTGACATGAAGCCCCGCCAGCATGAAAAACCTATGATGCATCATTATAATGAAACAGTCTTCAGCCTTGATAAAGATTAACATTATGTTATTAGATGATCCACGTCACACAGGGCATTATAAACCTTTACAATGTTCCTTTTACAAACACCTGCAAAGTATTACTCAGAGAAAACTATAAACATTTTTTTCATAAACACACACACACACACACACACACACACAAAAATAAATAAATCTAAACTCAAATGGTAAATTATTATTGGACTTCTATGCTAGTCATGGATTGTCCATAACAAAGACAAGTCTGAACACAAGGACGTTCGTAAGTGTACTTGGTACCAGAGCTCCTTGGATCAAAAGTCAATGATCGACTTCTTCGTTGTTTTATGTGACTTGGGACCATATGTTCTGGACACTCGGGTGAAGAGAGGTGCTGAACTATCAGCTGATCACCACCTGGAGGTGATGAAATGGCAGGGAAGAATGGTGGTCAGACCTAGTAGACCCAAGTAAATAGTGAGGGTGTGCTGGGAATGACTGGCAGAGGACCCTGTTCAGAATGATTTTAACTCCCACCTCCGGGAGAATATTTCTCATGTTCAGGAGGAGGTAGAGGACAGGGAGTCTAAATGGATCCATTTCAAAACCTTGTTTTGGCTTTGCTCAGGCTGTACTCAGCAGGGGTAGAGAAGATCTGACTTCAAATGAGGATTTCCCTGGTCACTGAAGTAGATGGCAAGCTCCTCTGTGGCAAGGCACCGGGGGTAGATGAGATTCACCGAGAAAGGCTCTGGAACTTGTGGGGCTGTCATGGCTGACACACTGCAATGTCGCATGGACCTTGGGAACAGTATCCTTGGACTGGCTGACAGAACGGGGTGGTGGTCCTTATTTTTAAGAAAGGGGACAAGTGAATGTGTGCCAATTACCGGGGTATCACACTGCTCAGCCTTCCTGGGAAAGTTTATGCCAAGATGCTGGAAGGGAGACTCTGACCAACAGTCTAACCTCAGATTGAGGAGGAGCATTGAAGTCTCCCAACAGTACTATGGAGTCCCTTTCCAGAACCCCACCCAGTGGCTCCAAGAAGGCTGAATACTCTGAACTGTTGTTTGGTGCATATGCACACACAACAGTCAGAGTTTTCCTCCCTATGATTTTAATTTGCATTGAAGCGACTTTCGTGTTCACTGGGACAAACTCCAGCCGTATGGCAGCCAGCCGGGTACTTGTTGGTACCTCTCAACCTCCCGCACAAGCTCTGGGTCCTTCCCCCATTAAGGTTACATTTCACATGCCAAGAGCCTGTTTCTGCTGCAGGGGTCCAAGACACCAAGGACCTCCCCGCCATCTCCCACTGCCTATACGGCACTGCACCGGTCCCCCATGCTGGCTTGCGGGTGGTGGGCCCACATAATCCCCACAATACGGAGTCTGGCCGGATAACATTGCCAGACTAACAGCTCCACACAGCATGTTCTACATTTTATTTCTTAAAAAATTTTATTGCAATATTTAAATAATGCCACAATTTTTAAAAAATTCCATGAAAATGTAATATAGCTATGATGGCCAATCCTACTGATGATACATGATTCACAATTTCTCTTTCATTTACACTGTCTCTCTTTCTTTCTTCCTCTATCAGGTGATACTGCTGAGAAATCTGCCCCTTAATCTTTATCCACTAAAGCAGCTGTTGCTCCTGCACTGAATACTGCACCAGCTCCTGATGCCTGTATGTCAGATCTGCTGATGGTTTGCTGCATATTCTCAGTTCAGCCTTTACAGTATAATATAGGCTGAGCAGAAATGAGAAATGTTTACTGTGTGTATGTTTTCTAGCATCTCCTGCTACTGGTGATGTAGCTGAGCCTCAACTTCAGCATCAGGAGAACCCAGAAGAAAAGGCCAATAGTGAAGGAGAACACCAGAACTTCGTCCAGGTAACCCACACTCACAGCTCCAACCAGAAAGCCTGTTCACAGCAGAGAGTCATCAAAATAAACACCAGAACAAGTCATGTAGCCTGTAACCAGTATTGTACTGCTGTGTTCACTGTTAGATCCCTGACAGAGAATTTATGACCTACTCTGTACAACACCGCCTTTTAGTTTCAGTGCACGGTGGAGTACAAGTTAGCCAAGCTGCTCTAGCTCAGTTTCTCTGCATGTTTGCTCGGTACTCGGTGCGCAGTGTGTTGTTTGAATGAAACAGCTTTTTTGGAAATTGATCTTAGACAAAATGTTTTCATACAGTGTGAACATTTAAACTGTGGGCTTTGTCAGTACATGATTGTCTGTTCAAACATATATTGTGAGTCACCAAAGTACAAGATTTTGAAAATCACACAGTGCATGTCTGTTATGATGTTATTATAATGAATCTCTTTTTGAGAATAATCACAGATAATGACCACAATACAAGACTCTGAAGGTGGAATAAAAACTGTAGTGGGTGTTACAGAAATGCCAGAAAAACATCAGGACGCACATGCAAAGGCAACAGTTGGACCAAAGGAGGTAGTAGAACAGGTAATTGACCAGTCAAAAGACTTTAGTGAATCACTGACCTGTTTAGAGTGTGCTGGAGTTTTCCTACAGTGTAGAAAAACCTTTCATGTTGTTGAACCCACATTCACCTAAAGATGACCACATGTTAGACAGGGGACAGAAAGAGCCAATTCAATCAAAAACATCTTTAACATCTCAATTACAACATTATAAAAAGCTACTGTAAAGGAAACCAATATCAGAAAGACTCAACTAAGATAAAAAAGCTTAAAGAGAACAGGAGAAATGATTAAACACGCTGCTTCTCTCTGTCTCTCTCTCTCTCTCTCTCTTTCTCAGAAATCGGATGCAGGAGCAGGTGTAGGAGATCCGAGAGATACTAGTCCACATCCATCCTCTCCTGGTCAGTCCTGAACCCCACAGAAATGGAGCTTAAGCTGATAGCAGCTGAAGAACTTATAAGCAGTTCACACATTAGCAGATGAGCAGCAGAGCAAAAACTAAAACATTATCACTCACTGTAACATTATTAACCAGAAAACAAACAAGCTAGAATTAAAATTCATCACTCAGTAAATGTGAAACCACTGATCCATCACCAGCAGATTTTAAATGATAAACAGAGCTAAACTGGACAACAAAACTGAGCTAATTGTGGTGCTAACACTAGTTTACCTAGCAGTCTAACAGCTCAGTACAGAGTGGAAAAGGTTTTATTCTGTTTTTCTGTCACTCCAAACACCAGCTGCTTCACTTTCTTCACTCAGATTGGAGTTTTGTTTGCTACACTTTTAGACTGTTAGTGGTGCATTAACTGTTAGCCTGTTAGTTCTTCACTTGATAGCTAAGATAACACATGTACTTAGTGCTAACAAGGACAGTAGCTTGGGGTTGTTATTTGTTCAAACACCAGCTTAGCTATCAGGCTAACAGCTCCACACAGCATGTTTTCCATTTTATTTGCTAAATTTTAAATTGCAATTTTAAATTGCTGTCATAATTTCTACAAAATCCAGGAAACTGTATATAGCTATAAACACCCAGTCCTACTGATGATACATGATCCATTCAGTCAGAAAATTTCCTTTATCACTCTTTCTTTCTTTCTTCTTCTTCTTTTATCAGATGATACAGCTGAAAGATCTCCTGCTCCTCAAACTTCATCCACTACAGCAGCTGCACTGGATACTGCCACAGCTCCTGATGCTGTATGTCAGATCTGCTGATGGTTTGCTGCATATATTACGTCAGTTCAGCCTTTACGTATTATATAGGCTGAGCAGAAATGAGAAATGTTTACTGTGTGTATGTTTCTAGCTTCTCTGTACTGGTGATGTAGCTGAGCCTCAACTTCAGCATCAGGAGAACCCAGAAGAAATGGCCATAGTGAGGAAAAACACCAGAACTTCATCCAGGTAACCCACACTCACAGCTCCAACCAGAAAGCCTGTTCACAGCAGAGAGTCATCAAAATAAACACCAGAACAAGTCATGTAGCCTGTAACCAGTATTGTACTGCTGTGTTTACTGTTAGATCCCTGACAGAGAATTTATGACAGAATGAAATCACAGCTGTTATTTGTATATCAGCTCAGATCACACTGCTGTTTAAAACAGGTCACAGATTCACACAGTCCATGTATTATGATGAGTCTCTGTTTGAGATTAATCACAGATAATGACACACTACAGGACTCTGAAAGTGGAGAACAAAATGTAGTGGGTGTTCAAAATGAGCCTGAGGAACGGACAAAACAGGACACAGATACAACAAAAACAGACAGAACAAAGGAGGAAGAGGCAAGATAACCGACCAATCAAAGGACAGATTTAGTGATGATGGAGCCTCACTGACCTGGAGATGACCACAAGTCAGTTAGACAGGAGGCAGAAAGAGACAATGTAATCGCAAACTTTGTTTAACATCTCAATCAGACATAATAAAGAACTGTCATGAAGAAAATTGTGAGTTAATACAGCGTGATTTTTTAAAAACTAACTCTGAAATAGGCTGTAGAGACCATATTGTCCTACTGTGTACATCACCACCTGCTTTTAGTTTCAGTGCTGAGTAGAGTACAAGTAAGCCAAGTTGCTGTAGCTCGTTTCTCTGCATGTTGCTCGGTACTCGGTGCGCAGTGTGTTGTTTGAATGAAACAGCTATTTGGAAATTGATCTTAGACAGAGTGTTTCATACAGTGTGAACATGTAAACTGTGGGGCTTTGTCAGTACATGATTGTCTGTTCAAACATATATTGTGAGTCACCAAAGTACAAGATTTTGAAAATCACACAGTGCATGTCTGTTATGATGTTATTATAATGAATCTCTTTTTGAGAATAATCACAGATAATGACCACAATACAAGACTCTGAAGGTGGAATAAAAACTGCAGTGGGTGTTATGGGAATGTCAGAGAAACAGACCAATCAGGACCCACATGCAAAGGAAACAGTTGGACCAAAGGAGGTAGTAGAACAGGTAATTGCCCAGTCACAAGGCTTTAGTGAATCACTGACCTGTTTAGAGTGTGCTGGAGTTTTCCTACAGTGTAGAAAAACCTTTCATGTTGTTGAACCCACATTCACCTAAAGATGACCACATGTTAGACAGGGGACAGAAAGAGCCAATTCAATCAAAACATCTTAACATCTCAATTACAACATTATAAAAAGCTATTGTAAAGGAAACCAATATCAGAAAGACTCAACTAAGATAAAAAAGCTTAAAGAGAACAGGAGAAATGATTAAACACGCTGCTTCTCTCTCTCTCTCTCTCTCTCTCTCTCTCTTTCTCAGAAATCGGATGCAGGAGCAGGTGTAGGAGATCCGAGAGATACTAGTCCACATCCATCCTCTCCTGGTCAGTCCTGAACCCCACAGAAATGGAGCTTAAGCTGATAGCAGCTGAAGAACTTATAAGCAGTTCACACATTAGCAGATGAGCAGCAGAGCAAAAACTAAAACATTATCACTCACTGTAACATTATTAACCAGAAAACAAACAGCTAGAATTAAAAATTCATCACTCAGTAAATGTGAAACCACTGATCCATCACCAGCAGATTTTAAATGATAAACAGAGCTAAACTGGACAACAAAACTGAGCTAATTGTGGTGCTAACACTAGTTTACCTAGCAGTCTAACAGCTCAGTACAGAGTGGAAAAGGTTTTATTCTGTTTTTCTGTCACTCCAACACCAGCTGCTTCACTTTCTTCACTCAGATTGGAGTTTTGTTTGCTACACTTTTAGACTGTTAGTGGTGCATTAACTGTTAGCCTGTTAGTTCTTCACTTGATAGCTAAGATAACACATGTACTTAGTGCTAACAAGGACAGTAGCTTGGGGTTGTTATTTGTTCAAACACCAGCTTAGCTATCAGGCTAACAGCTCCACACAGCATGTTTTCCATTTTATTTGCTAAATTTTAAATTGCAATTTTAAATTGCTGTCATAATTTCTACAAAATCCAGGAAACTGTATTATAGCTATAACACCCAGTCCTACTGATGATACATGATCCATTCAGTCAGACAAATTTTCCTTTATTCACTCTTTCTTTCTTTCTTTCTTTCTTCTTTTATCAGATGATACAGCTGAAAGATCTCCTGCTCCTCAAACTTCATCCACTACAGCAGCTGCACTGGATACTGCACCAGCTCCTGATGCCTGTATGTCAGATCTGCTGATGGTTTGCTGCATATACTCAGTTCAGCCTTTACAGTATTATATAGGCTGAGCAGAAATGAGAAATGTTTACTGTGTGTATGTTTTCTAGCTTCTCCTGCTACTGGTGATGTAGCTGAGCCTCAACTTCAGCATCAGGAGAACCCAGAAGAAATGGCCAATAGTGAAGGAAAACACCAGAACTTCATCCAGGTAACCCACACTCACAGCTCCAACCAGAAAGCCTGTTCACAGCAGAGAGTCATCAAAATAAACACCAGAACAAGTCATGTAGCCTGTAACCAGTATTGTACTGCTGTGTTTACTGTTAGATCCCTGACAGAGAATTTATGACAGAATGAAATCACAGCTGTTATTTGTATATCAGCTCAGATCACACTGCTGTTTAAAACAGGTCACAGATTCACACAGTCCATGTTATTATGATGAGTCTCTGTTTGAGATTAATCACAGATAATGACCACACTACAGGACTCTGAAAGTGGAGAACAAAATGTAGTGGGTGTTCAAAATGAGCCTGAGGAACGGACAAAACAGGACACAGATACAACAAAAACAGACAGAACAAAGGAGGAAGAGGCAAAGATAACTGACCAATCAAAGGACAGATTTAGTGATGATGGAGCCTCACTGACCTGGAGATGACCACAAGTCAGTTTTAGACAGGAGGCAGAAAGAGACAATGTAATCGCAAACTTTGTTTAACATCTCAATCAGAACATAATAAAGAACTGTCATGAAGAAAATTGTGAGTTAATACAGTGATTTTTTAAAAACTAACTCTGAAATAGGCTGTAGAGACCATATTGTCCTACTGTGTACATCACCACCTGCTTTTAGTTTCAGTGCTGAGTAGAGTACAAGTAAGCCAAGTTGCTGTAGCTCGGTTTCTCTGCATGTTTGCTCGGTACTCGGTGCGCAGTGTGTTGTTTGAATGAAACAGCTATTTTGGAAATTGATCTTAGACAGAGTGTTTTCATACAGTGTGAACATTTAAACTGTGGGCTTTGTCAGTACATGATTGTCTGTTCAAACATATATTGTGAGTCACCAAAGTACAAGATTTTGAAAATCACACAGTGCATGTCTGTTATGATGTTATTATAATGAATCTCTTTTTGAGAATAATCACAGATAATGACCACAATACAAGACTCTGAAGGTGGAATAAAAACTGCAGTGGGTGTTATGGGAATGTCAGAGAAACAGACCAATCAGGACCCACATGCAAAGGAAACAGTTGGACCAAAGGAGGTAGTAGAACAGGTAATTGCCCAGTCACAAGGCTTTAGTGAATCACTGACCTGTTTAGAGTGTGCTGGAGTTTTCCTACAGTGTAGAAAAACCTTTCATGTTGTTGAACCCACATTCACCTAAAGATGACCACATGTTAGACAGGGGACAGAAAGAGCCAATTCAATCAAAAACATCTTTAACATCTCAATTACAACATTATAAAAAGCTATTGTAAAGGAAACCAATATCAGAAAGACTCAACTAAGATAAAAAAGCTTAAAGAGAACAGGAGAAATGATTAAACACGCTGCTTCTCTCTCTCTCTCTCTCTCTCTCTCTTTCTCAGAAATCGGATGCAGGAGCAGGTGTAGGAGATCCGAGAGATACTAGTCCACATCCATCCTCTCCTGGTCAGTCCTGAACCCCACAGAAATGGAGCTTAAGCTGATAGCAGCTGAAGAACTTATAAGCAGTTCACACATTAGCAGATGAGCAGCAGAGCAAAAACTAAAACATTATCACTCACTGTAACATTATTAACCAGAAAACAAACAAGCTAGAATTAAAATTCATCACTCAGTAAATGTGAAACCACTGATCCATCACCAGCAGATTTTAAATGATAAACAGAGCTAAACTGGACAACAAAACTGAGCTAATTGTGGTGCTAACACTAGTTTACCTAGCAGTCTAACAGCTCAGTACAGAGTGGAAAAGGTTTTATTCTGTTTTTCTGTCACTCCAACACCAGCTGCTTCACTTTCTTCACTCAGATTGGAGTTTTGTTTGCTACACTTTTAGACTGTTAGTGGTGCATTAACTGTTAGCCTGTTAGTTCTTCACTTGATAGCTAAGATAACACATGTACTTAGTGCTAACAAGGACAGTAGCTTGGGGTTGTTATTTGTTCAAACACCAGCTTAGCTATCAGGCTAACAGCTCCACACAGCATGTTTTCCATTTTATTTGCTAAATTTTAAATTGCAATTTTAAATTGCTGTCATAATTGAGAAACTGTATTATAGCTATAACACCCAGTCCTACTGATGATACATGATTCATTCAGTCAGACAAATTTTCCTTTATTCACTCTTTCTTTCTTTCTTTCTTTCTTCTTCTATTAGGTGATACAGCTGAAAGATCTCCTGCTCCTCAAACTTCATCCACTACAGCAGCTGCACTGGATACTGCACCAGCTCCTGATGCCTGTATGTCAGATCTGCTGATGGTTTGCTGCATATACTCAGTTCAGCCTTTACAGTATTATATAGGCTGAGCAGAAATGAGAAATGTTTACTGTGTGTATGTTTTCTAGCTTCTCCTGCTACTGGTGATGTAGCTGAGCCTCAACTTCAGCATCAGGAGAACCCAGAAGAAATGGCCAATAGTGAAGGAAAACACCAGAGTTTCATCCAGGTAACCCACACTCACAGCTCCAACCAGAAAGCCTGTTCACAGCAGAGAGTCATCAAAATAAACACCAGAACAAGTCATGTAGCCTGTAACCAGTATTGTACTGCTGTGTTTACTGTTAGATGTCTGACTGATATTTGTATCAGCCCATATATCATCACACTGCTGTTTAGAAGAGATCTTAAATTCACACAGTCCATGTTATTATGATGAGTGTGTGTTTGAGATTAATCTAACCACACTACTCGCCACATTACAGGGCTCTGAAAGGGGAGAACACAGTGTAACGCGTGTTGTGAACACGCCTGAGGAATGGACCAGTCAGGACAGAGATACAAAGAAAACAGACAAACCCAGGGAGGAAGTAACAAAGATAATTAACCAATCAAAAGGCCGATTTAGTGTATCACTGACCAATTGAGAGCATAGGGTGGATCGAAACAGTTTAATTAGTGTGATTAAATAAACAGCAAATCAAATCATGTAGCCTGTGAACATTATTCTGCTGTTTACTGTTAGACTCGTGTCTAAAATAGAACTGCTTCTGATGATTATTGAGTCATTAATTCATCAATAGAATTAACTGAAGTAACTGAACTCTCTGCTTCTCTCTGTGTGTCTTTCAATCTCAGAAACTGGATTCAGGAGGTGATGGAGGAAAGCTAAGAAATACCAGCTCACTATCGTCCTCTCCTGGTCAGTCCTGAACATCACAGCTTTACGCAACACAGTGATTACCTCACCATAACCAGTGATTACTATACAAAATACATTGTCACACATATTCTCTTCTCTCTTACTCTCGCAAAACAAACAGGCAGTATCTACAGAGCACCCATGCAGCAAGATGCTAATCAGGTAACAAACAAATACACAGATATGCAGAAAACCACAAAGTACATTTGTACTAAACACCCTTAAGATTACAAACTAGAGATGGGGACTCAAGTCAGCTACTCACACTTGAGACATAACAACCTGAGGAAAAAAAACAAGCACAAAACTGATTAAATTAGGAGCACCAACCTATGCAGTAAAAAAAAAACTTGAGACACGACTCTCACTTAGACTTAACTCACCTCTCACTCGCACTCCAGAGATTCAAGACTCAACTCAAACTCATATCCAAGAAACTCAATTCAGCTGGACTTGGGCCTCAGAGACTAAAGACTATTTTACCCCAGAGACTCAATTCAGACTCGCATCCCAGAGACTCAAGGGTCGACTTTGCCTTGCAACACAGAGACTCAAGACTTGACTCAGACTCGCAGCCCAGAGAGGAACATCCTAGAGACTCGACTCTGACTACCACTCCAAAGAGTCATAACTTGACTCAGATGTGCACCTCAGAGACTTGTGCCTGTGTCCAAGACACTTGAGACACAACCTGGACTTACAGCAAATCACGGCAACACCACACTTAGATACTCATTGTTAGGACTAACCAGAAAAGAGCAGGTACAAGTTAAATTTTATTTATTATTATTAGTTCATGACAGCCAGCTGCTCTGCCTCTATGCAGTCTTAATAGTCCCAAAAGACACGGCATGCTGAGAAGTGGTGACTTATTGAATGCCTCTGTTTTTCTTTTTGCCTGCAGAAATGCAATGAATGGGTCAACGGCCTTCCAACAGACCTAGAATCTGTTGCCCCTTCTGTGAAAAGCAGCCAGTCTAAAGATTTACCATTCAACTTTTCTGCAAGCAGGTGAAAGATGGCTCTAATAATATAATTGATAACAACATCATTGATAAAGTCTCTTTTTCAGATGTTCTGGCATTACTGATCTAAAGGAATGTTTATGTTTTTGTGGTTTTGGTGAGATGGAATTTTTGTGGGCTTCCAGGTTTCACATTTTCTAGTGTCTGTAATCTCAGATGAAGTTACTTAATAATAGTGACAGAAGTTTAGCTTCTAGTCTTTGAGATCTGCTTACACTTGCCTGCATTCTGGTGCCTTCTGATAAATGCCTTTAAACCAGGCTGGCACATTTTCAACTGCAGTCTAAGACCAGTTTTGGAGCAGTGGCAGCTACAAGCAGTAGTGCAATCCCAGCACAATTTCTACCACTTCAGTTTTACTAAGAAAGTGGTGTTGCTCCACATGTTTCTGTCTATAAAACAAAACAGACTTTAGGTTCTGGAAGAAACTGGATTGTTTCATTGTAAATAACCAGTGCAAAGTTCAGAATGATCTCAATGACTCTCAAGGACTTGAGGACCACCCTCACATGGTGTATATGCTTCTGTCAGTCATTGCTGTAGACAATGCCACATCATACAGTGCATGAAAAACTATTCACCCCCTTAAAGTTGTCATGTTTTATTATCATAGAACATTGAATCACAGTGGATTTGTTCTTTTTACACTGATCAACAAAACAGACTCAGATCAAGTGAAAACAGATCTCTTCAAAGTAATTAATTTAATAACATATGAAACAAAACATGAAGGGATAAAAAAAAAGTATTCATCCCCTCATGGCTCTCCTAAATTATCACTGCAGGTAATTGCTGTTAAGTCACATAATTAGTTAAATGGATATTTAAACTGGGTGTAGTTAAGGAGTTCCAAGTATTTATAGTCTGTATACACTCGTATATGGAAGGTCCAGCTTCTGGTGAGTCAATATTATAGTATTACCTACACTATGAAGAGAAAAGAATTCCACGACGTGATGGAAAATCACAAGTCAGGGTATGGATACAAGAACATTTCCTAGTAAGTGAATGGAGTTACAGTTAAAGCAATTGTTAAGAAATGGAAAGGCTATGGCATAGCTGCCAAGAAAATCTGCCGAGAAAATCTGCCAAGAACAGGCCATCCACAAAAACTGGCTGACAGAGTAAAATTAGATTCACTATGATTTAACATGTTATGATGCTTTTAAATACTTAATACTTTTTACAGGCACTGTACATGTGATATGGGAGTTAGTCCCATCAACCCTTGAAACATAGCGGATGCTATACACATTGTGAAGAGTGAGAGTCAAGCTTGTCATTAAGGTCTAGCTTGAGAGCTTGGTCAGAGGCAGTGTCTGGGAACACAGGGTCAGTGGTGGAGACCAACTGAGTGGGGTACTGGGAGGCTGGCAGGGCAGGAAACTGGGCAGCTGGCTGAGAGCAGAAGCAACAGAAGCAACCAATCATGAGAACAATCACGTGAATTGCTTTCTTGTAGGCTACAGAAATGGCAGAGCCTTTAGACAGTCAACAGACACAGTTTTGGAAAATGCTCCTAATAATAATGAATGCACAGCAATAAAGCTGTGTAAAGATTAAAGCCAGATCTGACCTACAGAAGTCACTCATGACTAACGCAGATGGAAACCAGACTGTGGGTGTTTAGGTTGCAGGTAGATTTTCTGCAGGAGCAGGATAAAATCTTGTGGGAGGGGGCGGGAGAGTAAAGCTGCTCCAGCAACAAAGGCCGGATGGATGGATGGATGGATGGATGGATAGATTGATCAGTTTATTAATTGCCGAAAGAAAGTGCAGAAGAGGCTGCAGTCAGGTCAGGTCTCCTTATGAGCAGACAGGCCTAGTTGTGACATCCTCAGGAGCATATGGGCCTGTTGTGATGTCCACACAGACAAACTGCTGTGATGTACTCTGAGGCAGGCAGTCACACCCTTAGCAAAAGATGGACCTGTAGTGATGTTTCCTAGGACACTAGGCTGCAGTTCAGAGCTAAGTGCCAACCAACTGGTGACCTCCCGGACACTAGGCTGCACTGATGAGCTGAGTGTCTGTCTGTCTCTGCTTTCTTGGACACCAGGTGGCACTTTAATCTGCAAATCAGTTAGACTGTCCAGGAAGCCTGTTGTGTCTTCGTCCGCCCTCTCCAGTAAACTGTTGGGTTCGAACTGATTGACAGCACATGGACTGAACACAGGCATCCCCCCAGAATTTATCTCCACAGTCGGGAAAACCTCAGTATCAGGAGACTGAATTATCTTCAGTGGGTGTGGTTTCAGTGGCATCAGTAGTAGTTAGAAAAATCATTTTCCAGTTCATGTTCATCCATCTACAGTTCATCCTCCCCATCATACTCACACTGAAGCTTCCCGGCCTTAAGAACAGAAAGAAGATGATCTGTGTTTTCTTCCTGGGAAGAAATTGGACTTGTTGCATTTTTGTTTGGTCATGCATTCTGAAATGCTGGAGGCATGGAAGCAGAATGCAAGTCCATGGTGACAGAAGCAAAATTGCAAATATTCAAAACATATATTTATATATAAATAATATATTCAGATGAATATTTTACACTCAGCCATGTATGTTGAAGCAGAAGTTTACATGTTCTCTGTCATTTTTTGATGCGTTTAATTAGTAATGCTGTTCTCCCCAGTTACTAGATCCTCCATGTCTCCTCTTGCTCCCCTTCATTGCTCACCTCATTGCTAATATGAAATGTAGTACATTTTACAAATGACTGTCCCATCTCTGATCTCCAGTCATGATATATTTGTCTGAATTACATGTTTGTAACCCAGCAGACAAACCAGTTATAATATAACAATAATATAACACATAATAGAAATATTGATGGCAGGTGAGACAAATTTTACCATTTTATGACTGGACACTATTTTGTTTTACTCATTGTAATGTTCATGTTTCAGTGATGTGTAAACAGCATCCGAATTTGAGCACTTTACATCCGTTAGTAACTCCCCTGAATATTTTGCTGATATTTTGTCGGGTTCTGAGATATATTAGACCTCTCATGCAAACTGCGTACCTTCTGAACCAAAGTGTTGTGGATTTTAGCGATTACTCTCATCTAGTGGTCTGACTATTGTTCATGAAGGCCTTGCTAATGAGCTGATGAGCTGAATCAGGTGTGTTTAATGAGGCAGTGTGCGGAAGTACACCAAGGCATGTGGGGTGCTCCCGGTCAGATCTTTAGAACGTAGAGCAGGTACACTGTCCGGGAAGCCTGCTGTGTTGTTTTCAGCCCTCTCTAGTAAACCACTGGGTTTGAGCTGATTGACAGCTCATGGACTGAGCACTGGTAGTAGAGGTCTGCAAGGGACTATTTTTTCAGTCCTGCTCCCGTGAGATTCATCCCGGATTCATCAGAATCATTTCTCCTGAAATGATTTGTCCCACTCCCACCCGCACAGTCCCACACACATCCAATATCTGACACAATCTATTCACAAATACATTATCCTCTGCTGAAATAACACGGCAGTCATGGTCATCAGGCTCACTGCCTTACACAGCATTTATTCCCAGTAAACACAAAGCAGGAATTAAACCACAGAGCAGTTATTTTTGGTGGTTTGCTGGGCAGATGTGGTCGTCCGCAGCATCTCTCTAATGCCTGATTCACACATGCTGCCTCTATGAGTGATGCAGCAGTTTGCGCCGCCTTTCATACATACAGTGTTTGTGCTGCGGAGCGGAGGAAATCTATTTGCAGCTCGAAATGTTTAACTAGTATTTCATCATAAATTACATAAAAACGCTTTTTAAGTTTTTATACAATCTTCTTTTTTATTTTCATGGCTTATTTCAGTGTATTTCAGCCTGTTTGAAAGCCCTGACCCCTTAACATGGGCGCCGAAATGAAAAGCAAGACTTTGCATCACTCGGGCCACGTAAAAGCAATAGGTGTCAATCAGACCTATGAGGATTTGCGTGTTGTTCACGTGATTGGTTGCTGGAGAATGACTTTATTAATTTCAACAGTTTTACTGTTATATCATTTACATATATGATTTAGTGATGGTTCTACTTTATTCAGGCTATTTATTAATTAATTTATTAATTTCTCTATATGCGTGCTTCCGCCCGCTCCCGCCTGAAGGGGTACGATTTCCGCCCGTTTCAGTAGTGACCTTGCTAATAGTAATTTGAAATATCCTTCTACACTTCATGTCTTCTTGGCTGTCAAAGATTTTTGAAAGATTATATCTGCCTATTCTAAAGCTTCTACCCTGAAAAAAGTCCCTACAAACAGTGCTTTAACTGTGTCCAGTGGAATCGGGCAAGCTAAATGCTGAAAATACAGTCTGTAATGCATGATGAATCCCTCACACACTGAATCCTCCCCTTTATACTCACATGGGCTGGCTAGCAAAGAGGGCACAACAAAAGACTTCCTGCCCTGGAGAACAGAAAGATCTTGTAGATCTTGAAAGATCTTGCATGCTTTAATGTCGGAGGCATGGAGGCAGGATGCAAATGCAAGTGTTCTTTATTAAAGTTCATCATGAGAGAAGCAATATTGTACTTAATGTAATACATTTTGTCTCGTCCCTGTTCCTCAGTCCTAATGTATTTGTCTGAATTGCATGTTTCTAACCCAGCAGACAAACCATTCAGAAACATAATAGAAGTGGTGATGACAAATTTCTACTTTATCCTTTTATGACTGGACACTTTATATTCAGTTTTGCTCATTGTAATGTTCATGTTTCAGTGGTGTCTGTACAGCATCTGAATCTGGGCGCTTTACATCCTTTAGTGACTCTCCTGAAAGTTGCCTCAGGTAAGGTGTGATAGGCTTTTCTAAAGATAACCTCTTAACTGTTACCCCTTTTTGCACATTTTTGCCTGTGATGGTATACCCAGAATAAAGGGGGCTCTGTTCCCATTTACTTTGGCTACCATCATGGTCTTCATCTCTTTTGAAAAGTAACATGGCTCAAGTTTTTTTCCCCCCACGGTCAGAATTATTATATGAATTACTGACACAGAGTAACAGAGGCTAGAATAATTTCTTTCTGCCTTTTTACTCATTGATCTCTACACTGATTAATGCCCATTCCTCTAGGTTCGCTGGCCTTCTTCACTTTACAAACACAACTGAGCCACAGCACAACCTGTACCTTGCAGATTTGCTAGTGTTTGCTCGTTCGGTGCTTATGTTGCAATATGGATAATCATAACTGCTGTGAACAACGGATAATAAAATGGTTTGTGGGTTTTGAATCCTGAGATTTCACGATTTCTAACAGTATATTGCATCACCATATTGCTGGAAGATTTGATGCACAGAAAGGATTTTTAAAACCTGAAAGCGAACAATAGAAGTGTGTCATTACCTGTACAATGATACAGAAAAGTTTAAAATAAGTAAATCATTGTAGCTGAAGAAACTAACAGCTTAATCTTCATCACCATGAAAACAATACAGTATTTGTTTTAAAGAGTCACTTTTCCTGCACCAACAGTGTTTTTGTTCTCTGACAACTTTAGCAAGAATGTAATTAAATCCAGTGTTAACTATTAAAACATGATTCTACCTTTGAATTTAGGCAATAACTAATGTGGAATATGGTAATGTTTGGAATTGTCCAATCCCTGTACACCAGTCCTAATATATTGTCTGAATTAATGTTTAACTCAGTACACAAACCAGCCGCCCTGCCTCCAAACCAAACAGGCCATACAAAGCTAATAAGGTAAGCAATTGTTTTGAAACACTAACTTTGCTAATTAATAAACTTTGTATTTTGTCTGACCAGTTAAAGAAGAGTCATATAATCTATGTTTGTAGTTATTTGTTAATACACAGACAGTAGAGAACAATGTAGAATCTAACCTGACATGTCGGACAAATGACAAACTTTAAACCTGAATGTCCAATAAATGAATTCCAATACTTTTACCACGTTACCCATGTTTGCAAGGATAATAAATTCACTGTGAATCCTTTAAAGTAAAACTTATCACATATAATATACTGGTATGAGTTCTTAAAAACATACTGAATGGTGGTTTCCTCTCCCAGTTTTTCATATCTTGTACTTTATCCTCTATTGTACAATTCTGCATGAATCTTGATTGATGCGTTCAGAAACTGACACTTCTGGGCTCTTCAGTAAGAGCAAAGTGAATGTAATAGAAAATAAGAAATGAAAATTTACATGTATTAAGCCACTGGCTTTATTTGGACCTTTTTGACAGGCTGACCGTTTTAACTCAAGATGGAAGTCTAAAAAAGTCAGATGTTATGACTCGAAGAACTTCAGAACACATAATAATGATGACAGGTGAGACGAATCTCTACAATTACCCTTTTATGTCGGGACATTTTTTATTCAGTTTTACTCAGTGATGTTTATGTTTTATGTTTTTATATTAACTTGAGTCCTTTACTAAACCCACTGAAAGTCATTTCAGGTAAGTTTTCTAATAAGTGAATCACAATCAATCAAACTGACGTCTTAATGCTCATCACTATGAAAGTAACACAGAATATTTTTTTAGGCGAACAAAAAAGAAAATATAAATGACGGAAATGCAGGACAACAATCTATATCTAGAAATTGTGTTTAAAAAATATACATCAAAATAAGCCAAAGCATTTTGACCTCTCATAGATAAAGCATAGAAAGTTGATATCTTGAAAATGTATGGAATGTTTTATTAGACAGTAGGTGAACAGTCGCTTACCGTAGTCAACATGCAAGAAGCATGAGAAATGGCCAGACAAAGACCTGAGAGAGGGCCAAATCATTATGGCCAGACAACTGGGTCACAGCATCTTTGAAGTGGCTAGACTTATGAGGTGTTCCTGGTCAGCAGTGGTGAGCACATACTGACAGTGATCCAGGGAAGAACAAAGCATGAACTGGCGGCAATCAATGCTCATCAATGCATGAGGGCAAAGAAGGCTATCCTGTCTGGTCCAAACCGACAGAGGAGCTACTGTGGCACAAGTCACAGAAATTTCTACTGATGGTTACGGGAGGCAAGTGTCACAACACATAGTACATCAGTACATGGTCAGAGCGCCCATGCTAACCCCTGTCTATCAAAAGCACCTACAATGGGCTGGTGAACATCAGCATTGGACCTTGGAGCTCCAATTTACCTACCTGTGATTTTCTTTTTATTTTCATTTTTTCAAAGCCCATGTCAAACCTAGATTGGAGCTACTCAAGAGATTATATCCTGCAGTTACAAGTTTAAGTTTTAGCTTCTTTAACTAATAATGTGTCTGTATTTTTATTTAGGTTTCCCATGGAAATGACACGAGACAAGCAAAAATGCACAAGCACTCCCCAGCAGGAGTTCCACAGTAAAGATGAAAAGCAGACGAAAAGCATTTGGACTGAACCGGGTAATTAAAACCCACATTTATGCCTAAAATTAGATCTCTAGTATAGACAGTTAGATATAGGACCGACAGTCTCTTGGACTGACATTACCATAGCTCTTCATTTTTACATTATGTGCAGGCAGATTATTTCACTCTATTTAGATACACTGCTGTTCAGTACTGGTTACACACTAGCGTTTAGCCTCAAAAACAAAAGACTGTTTTCTGTCGGATTGAAAAAGACGCAATGAAGCTTGTGCTAAAAACAGGTAAAAGCACCAGACATTCAACTTGCTTTTCCATTCTTGGCAAATATTTTATATAATATTCATTGCAGCCCATTCCCAGCAGCAGTAGTTGGTTTTGTTTAGCTCTTTTGTCATGTGAAGTTTACTGACAGCTTTACGCCACACAGTGATATAAACAGTGAAAGGTCTACATGATACATTCAGTCACACACATTAACCGATTCTCTTCTCTCTTAATGTCTGTGTATTATTCCAGCTCTTGTTAATGAAAACCTAGATGAGGTACTGAGTCAGTGTACAGAGAGCACAGAAGAAACAGGCAGCATCTCCACAGCATTCATGCAGCAAGATATTAATGAGGTAACACACACAAATACACAGATATGCAGAAAACCACAAAATACATTTGCACTGAACACCCTCAAGATTACAAACTAGGGATGGGGACTCAAGTCAGCTACTCACACTTGAGACGTAACACTCAAGAATGTTCAGCCTGAGAAAAAAAACAAGAAGAAAACTGATTAAATTAGGAGCACCAAACAATGCAGTAAGGGAAAATCTCAAGACTTGACTCTGAACTACACCCAGAGACCTGACTCTCCTCTCACTCGCACTCCAGAGATTCAAGACTCAACTAAGACTGGTATCCCAGAGGCTCAACTCAACTCACACCTCAGAGACTTAGGACTCAGACTTGCATCCCAGAGACATGAGACTTGTACTTGCACCCCTGAGCCTCAAGAAATGACACAGACTCACACCCCAGAGACTTGACCTGCCTCTCACTCACAGTCCAGAGATTCAAGACCCAACTAAGACTGGTATCCCAGAGTCTCAACTCAACTGAACTTGGACCTCAGAAACTCAAGACTCGCACTTCCTCCCCAGAGACTCAAGACGCTACTATTGTACCCCAGAGACTCAACTCAGACTCACATCCCAGAGACCCAAAGACTCAAGACTTAACTGAGACTTGCAGCCCCAAGAGGCACATCCCAGAGACTTAACTCCGACTAGCACTCCAGGGAGTCAAGACTTGCACCTCATAGACTCATGCTTGTGTCTGAGACAACTGAGACACAACTTGGACTTGCATCAACTCATGACCATTTCGGTCAGACACTAAGTAATAAGTGGTCATGCCACAGCAAATCAAGGTAACACACCACACTTAGATACTCATCGTCAGGGCAAACCAGATAAGAACAGGTAAAAGTTTAATTTGACTTCACAAACAACATGAAGTGTTCAGATGATTTTGAGTGTGGTATAGCTTTGGAGATAATGCTTGGACCATCTGTATAGGTTTACTGTACATGTGCGTTTGTGTTTTGGCAGTTCCCAGTTTTATTTTACTTATCTGAATGAGCTCAGTGTTCAAATTTAATGGGGATATAAGTAAGATATAGTTGCATTCTCTGGCTGCTGAAAGCGTCTTTAATCTTAGAAAAGGTCAATTAAAGTGTAAATGATATATATTCAGTTTCATATGAATACTTCTTTACTAACTTGTGTTTCTTTATCACCTATGTTTATCATCATCATTATTATTATCATCATTATTATTATTGTTGTTGGTTCATGACTGCCTCTGTGCACTCTTAATAGTCCCGAAAGATACACTATGCCAAACAGTATAACTATTGAATGCCTCTGTTTTTGCCTGCAGACATGCAACGAATGGGTCAAAAGCCCCCCATCAGACCCAAGATCTGTTGCCCCTTCTATGAAAACCAGCCCTTTTGAAGATTTCCCACCCAACTTTTCTGCGAGCAGGTGAAAGATGGCTCTAATAATACAATAGATAATAACATAATTGATAACGTCTCTATTTCAGATGTTCTATCATTATTGATCCAAAGGAATCTTTGTTTTTGTGGTTTTTGGTGAGATGGTATTCCAGGTTTCAGGTATTCTAGTGTCCGTAATCTCAGTTGAAGTTACTTAATAATAGTGACAGAAGTTTAGCTTCCAGTCATTACAAACTGCTTGCACTTGCCTGCATCCTTTTGGTGAGTACACATTTTCAACTGCAGTCCAAGATCAGTTTTGGGGTAGTGCCAGCTACAAACATTGCCAGCACAATTTCTACCACTTCATTTTTACTAACAACTACAACAAACAATTCTACTTCTATAGCACCTCTCATATAAAAACATGCAGCTCAAACTGCTTCACAATTAAATAAAATAAAATAGCAATATCATGTATGTAAAACAGTAAATAGCAAAGGAAAATTTTAGTTGTGCTGTAGAATCTTGCACAATATTTTCTGGCTAATGTACTGCTCTGGACAGTCACCCCCTTTGTAGTGAGATCAGTCGGAGAGCTGGAAAGGTCCAAATAATCTCAATGACTCAAGGACTTGAGGACCACACTCACATGTTGCATATGCTGCTGTCAGTCATTGCTGTAGAGGATAATGCCACAGCATGCAGTACATAAAAAAAACTATTCACCCTTCTTGAAGTTATGGTTTATTATCATACAACACTGAATAACAGTTGTTTTTTACAGTGATCAACAAAACAAACTCTTTTATGTGAAAGTGAAAAGAGGTCTCTTCAAAGTAATTTAAAATAATTACAAATATAAAACAAAGTATCCATCCCCCTTATGACTCTTCTAAATTATCACTGCAGGCAATTGCTGTTAAAAGTCAGATAATTAGTTAAATGGAAATTTTAACTGTGTGTAGTTAAGCAATTCCAAGTATTTATAGTACGTATACACTCGTACATGGAGATCCAAATTCCGATGAGTCAGTATTATAGCATAACCTACACCATGAAGAGAAAAGAATATTCAAAGTGATTCCATGACAAGGAAAAATGACATGTCAGGAAACAAGGATACAAGAACATTTCCTTTTCAGAGTGGCAAAAAGAAAGCTGGTGTTAAACAACCCTTACATGACCTCTTGACTAGGGTTCTATGGTCTGATGAGACTGAATTCCACCACACATCATCATAAACACAACATCCTCACTGTGAAATCTGGTGGTGGTAGCATCATGTTGTGGGAATGCAAGAGGTCATTTAAGGCTTGTGAGGATAGAACGAATGCAGCATGATGCAGGGAAATCCTGAAGAGAAGATTTGTCTTCCAGCACAACATTTATACAAGCATACAGCCAAAGCTTCACAGCCTGGTCAGAGACAGTGGTGGGGAACACAGGATCAGTGGTGGAGACCAGTTGAGTGGGGTACTGGGAGGCTGGCAGTGGCAACCAAGTGGTGGCCTCCCAGACACTAGGCTGCACTGGTTAGCTGAGTGCCTGCCTGCCTCTGCTTTCTTGGACACCAGGTGGCCATTTAAGCTGCAGAGCACGTAGGCTGTCCAGGAAGCCTGTTGTGTCTTTGTCCACCTTCTCCAGTAAACTGTTGGGTTTGAACTGATTGACAGCACATGGACTGAACACAGGCATCCCCCCAGAATTTATCTCCACAGTCGGGAAAACCTCAGTATCAGGAGACTGAATTATTTTCAGTGGGTGTGGTTTAGTGGCATCAGTAGTAGATAGAAATAAGCTTTTCCAGTTCATCCATCTACAGTTCATCCTCCCCTTATACTCACACTGAGGCTTCTTGGCCTGAAGAACGGAAAGACGATCTTCCATGTTTTCTTCCTGGGCAGGAATCCAACTTGTTTTCTTATTTGGTCATGCATTCTGAAGCGTTGGAGGCGTGGAGGCAGGATGCAAGTCCATGGTGACAGAAGCAAAATCACATCACAAATATTTAAAAATATATATTCATATATAAATAATACATATTCAGAGGAATATTTTACACACAGCCATGTACATTGAAGCAGGGGTTTACTGTTCTTTGCGATTTTTGATGGATTTAATTGGTAATGCTGTTCTCCAGCTATTCTAGACCTCATTGCTAAAATGTAATACAGTACATATTGGAAATCACTGTCCTGTCACTCTTCTCCAGTCCTAATATATTTGTCTGAATCACATGTTTGTAACCCAGCAGACAAACAAGTCAGAAATATAGCAGAAATGATGATGACAGGTGAGACAATCTCTTATTTACCTTTTATGACTGGACACTTTTAATTCAGTTCTACTCATTGTGATATGTTCATGTTTCAGTGGTGTCTATACAGAATCAGATTTTGGGTGTGTTACATCTGTTAGTAACTCCCCTGAAAATTGCTCCAGGTAAGATGTGATATGCTTTTCTAAATTAAAGTCTTAACTGTCGCAGCTTTTTTACTCATTGATCTCTATACTGATCTATGATGATTCCTCTAGGTTTGCTGGCCTACTTCACTTTAAAACACAACTGAGCTACAGCACAACATGTATTTTGCAGATTTGCTGGCGTTTACTCGTTCGATGCTTATGTTGTAAATGAGGTGATCATCACGGCTGTGAAGAACACATCATAAAATGCTTTGTGGATTTTGAATCCTGAGATTTCACGCTTTAACAGTATATTGCATCACCGTATTGCTGGAAGATTTGATGCAATATGATTTTTAAAACCTAAAGGCGAACAATGGAGGTGTGTCATTACCTGTACAGTGATACAGAAACGTTTAAAATAAGTAAATCATTGTAGCTGAAGAAACCAACAGCTTAAACTTCATCACCATGAAAGCAATACAGAATCTTTTTTAAGGTAAATAAAAAACATGTAAATGAAGGAAATGCAGGAAGACAATCTATAATTCTACATTAGTATCTAGAAACATGATACACTGAGCCAACAGTATGATCACTCACAGATGAACCAAAGAAGTTTGTTCTTTGTGATTTTGATGGATTGAACTGGTAATGCTCTTCACTACACTGTCTAGATCTTCCATGTCTCCTCTTGTTCCCCCTCATTACTCACCAGCAGCTCAACACGGAGTCACTTTTTCTTCCACCAACAGTGTTTTTGTTTCTCTGACAACTTTAGCAAGAATGTAATTAAATCCAAAATTAACTATTAAAACATGATTCTACCTTTGAATTTAGGCAATAACTAATGTGGAATATGGTATTGTTTGGAAATGACTGTCCAATCCCTGTGCACCAGTCCTAATATATTGTCTGAATTAATGTTTGTAGCACACGAACCAGTCGCCCTGCCTCCAAACCAAACAAGCCATGCAAAGCTAATAAGGTAAGCAATTGTTTTGAAACACTAACTTTGCTAATTAATAAACTTTGTATTTTGTCTGACCGGTTAAAGAAGATTCATATAATCAATGTTTGTAGTTATTTGTTAATACAAAGACAGTAGAGAACAATGTTGAAACTTACCTGACATGTCCTGACATGTTGTGCAAATAACTTGAAACCTAAATGTCCAGTAAATGAATTCCAATACTTTTACCACTTTACCCATGTTTGCAAGGATAATAAATTCACTGTGAACATTTCAAAATAAAACTTTAAAATACAATTCAATTAAATCAATGATCTGTCAAGTACATTCTAATAAAGTGAGGTATCAAAAAAATATACTGGTATGAGTTCTTAAAAACATACTGAATGGTGGTTTCCTCTCCCAGTTTTTCATATCTTGTACTTTATCCTCTATTGTACAATTCTGCATGAATCTTGATTGATGCGTTCAGAAACTGACACTTCTGGGCTCTTCAGTAAGAGCAAAGTGAATGTAATAGAAAATAAGAAATGAAAATTTACATGTATTAAGCCACTGGCTTTATTTGGACCTTTTTTTTCAGGCTGACAGCTTTAACTCAAGATGTAAGTCTAAAGAAGACGGACGTTATGACTCAGAGAGCTTTAGAACATGTAACAGTGATGATGACAGGTGAGACTAATCTCTACATTTACCCTTTTATATCTGGACATTTTTTATTCAGTTTTACTCAGTGATGTTTATGTTTTATGTTTTTATATTAACTTGAGTCCTTTACTAAACCCACTGAAAGTCGTTTCAGGTAAGTTTTCTTTTCCGTTTTTTTATTAAAATAAGTGAATCAACAATCAAATCAAACTGACGTCTTAATGCTCATCACTATGAAAGCAACACAGAATATTTTTCAAGGCGAACAAAAAAGAAAATATAAAGGACGGAAATGCAGGACAACAATCTATATCTAGAAATTGTGTTTAAAAAAATATACATCAATATAAGCCAAAGCATTTTGACCTCTCATAGATAAAGCATAGAAAGTTAATATCTTGTCAATGTATGGAATGTATTATTAGACAGTAGGTGAACAGTCGCTTACCGTAGTCAACATGCAAGAAGCATGAGAAATGGCCAGACAAAGACCTGAGAGAGGGCCAAATCATTATGGCCAGACAATTGGGTCAGAGCATCTTTGAAGTGGCCCGATGACAGCTGGGATAGGCTCCAGCACCCCACCGCGACCCAGAAGGATAAGCGGTTTAGATGATGGATGGATGGTTACGGGAGGCAAGTGTCTCAACACATAGTACATCAGTACATGGTCAGAGCGCCCATGCTAACCCCTGTCTATCAAAAGCACCTACAATGGGCTGGTGAACATCAGCATTGGACCCTGGAGCTCCAATTTACCTACCTGTGATTTGCTTTTTATTTTTTCAAAGCCCATGTCAAACCTAGATTGGAGCTACTCAAGAGATTATATCCTGCAGTTTAGGTTTTAGCGTCTTTAACTAATAATGTGTCTATTTTTATTTAGGTTTCCCATGGAAATGACACGAGACAAGCAAAAATGCACAAGCACTCCCCAGCAGCAGTTTCCAAGTAAAGATGAGGAGGTGAGCGTTATATTGTAGAGTATCTTTTGAGTACAGGGACAGTGAAAATCAACATTTTGTATACATTTGAATAAAACGGTAAAGATACAGGACAGCACTGGCAAAAATCCTAGCACAGAATATTCCTTGATGCACCCTCAATATGTCTGAAGTTAACCTTCAGTTTACTAAGGTTTACTGTAGCCTTGGCATTTGAAATTGGACAAGAAACATGATTTTAAGAAGGACCTTCTTTAAAAACAAACTTTGTTTTTTGTGCTGATGGCAAACGGAACCAGACGCTTGCAGATGAGGCTTGAGTTAAGAGCTTTAGTAACAAAGGGATGAACAGGCAAGGAAAGAACGCTCAGTATGCTCATGCTAAGATGATAATTCATAAATAACTAAACTAAAGCCCAGGCTTATATACTAAACTATCAAAGGCGTGAAATGAGGAAAAGGTGTGTGTGATGAGAAGTCTGGTGAGGATGAGCACTGATAGATTGGTCTGTTGGAGTCCAGAGTCATGTAAGGCGTGACATTTTTCATGAACTCTGGTTTGTATTCATTTTATTCATTTACTTTTTATTTACCTTTTTAATTTTACAATATTACTCTTGCTTCGCTATCCTTTGTGAAAAAAGCAGAGACCACCCTTTAAGTGGTCATGAAGTAAAAGTTATTCATTTTTCAGGAGAAATTTCTGAGGTTAGATATAAGGTAATGCAATTGCAGAAGGAAGGAGAGCATCAAATGAAATGAAGTGAAAAAACAGAAATTTCCAAAACTGGGGTTCAAAAAAACATTTTTAAAGTTATGGGAAAAAGCTGTAATGGTCACAGCTTTGTAAACACGTTATCAGAATTAAAAAGGGGAGAACCATCCACTAAGAGTGTTTTGACCTGTTTACTCTACCCAGCGCTTTAAAAAAAAAAGAAAGAAAGAGAACAACACAATATATAGAACATTATAGCTTAGTCAGTTCATTCTCAATGTCTTTCCAAAAGTTCATTCAGCCTTTGAGTCCATAAAAACAAAAGAATTGGATAGTTCTCACCAGACTAATTGTCCTTTGAATCTATTCTTTATCCCAGTCCAGTCTATGAATCCTGTGTATCATGAAATTGAAGGAAAGTCCAAATTGCAATGGTCCCCATTCTAAGCCGATGTGAGCCAATGTAGAGATTAAAGCAGATTTGTCCAAACAAATGAGAGAAACAAACAAAACACTTCCACTAGCCTACAATGCTACCTCTTGTATCCCCTTTTGGCTTGTAAACTGATCTCCTCCCGCAGCACTGCCACTTAGTGGATGGGGTAGGAATTACCACAAGAGAAAGCAAAAAATGGAAACTGACTTTTGGTCTGCAGAGTATTGTATATGAAAAGTGCTAGACTTTTACAGCAATTAATTAATTAATTAATTCATGATAATTATGATCATAATGAATAGATTTAACAAAAATGTTTATATTCAGAATATTTTTACAGTGTGTATTTGTGCTTGGCTGTGTAGATGAATATTTATAGATTTTATCTACACGTCATTATCTGTTTTTTTTGGTAGAAGAACAGCTGTATTTCCATTTGGATGGCTTTGCTGCCAGTGGCACTTTTAATGTTGGTCACTGGGCTGTACGCATATTCTAAAGGTAAGTGGGTGTTCATTTTCATTTTCAACCCTGCTTAATGAATTGTGTCACCAAAGAGGCACTAATTGTAATCTGCACCATACTAGATAAATGAGAAAGTGTTTTTTGTTGTTGAAGAACAAAAGGTGAACCATCCCGAGCTGAGACTGATGCTGGTGGGTAAGACTGGAGCTGGGAAGAGTGCGTCAGGAAACACCATCCTGAGTGAAGAAGCTTTCAGAGTCGAGGCATCTCCAGCATCTGTGACTGGACACTGTGAGCGAAGGAACAAAGCTCTGGATGGACGGAAAATCACTGTGATTGACACTCTTGGGGTGATGGACACATGGCTCACATCAGAACAAAGAGCCCACAGTGCACCTGAATGTATCTACCATCCTGCTCATCATCCTCATGTGTTCCTGCTGGTGATCAAAGTGGGGAGATTCACAGAGGAGGAGAGGAACGCTGTGAAGTGGATTCAGGAGAACTTTGGAGAAGAAGCTGTGAAGTTCACCATAATACTCTTCACTGGTGGAGATCTGTTAGAGAAAAAACCCATTGAGAAGTTTATCAGTAACAGTAACGAGCTTCAGAAACTTGTAGACACCTGTGGAGGTAGATATCACGTCTTCAACAACTATCAGAAAAATGATCACACTCAAGTCACAAAGTTGCTTGAAAAGATAGATTTGATATTATTTGGGTCTTTGGGCTACATTCATACACAAGAAGTCCACCAGAGGGTCCAAAAAAGCACCAGAGAAGAAGAAGAGAGGAAGAAATTAAATTTGATCAAAGAGATCAAATCAGAGGAGGCTGTAAAGAGAGATGCAATGGAAAGAATGATCAGAGAGGAGGAGGAACTAAGGAGAAAACAGATGGAAAGAGAGTTGAAAGAGGAGGAAATGAGAAAATGTAACAGCAGAGAGACAGAAATCAGACAGGAGGAGGAACAAAAGAGAGAGAAGATAGTTAGAGAGTCTAAAGAGGAGGAAATGAGAAAATGTATCAGCAGAGAGATTGAAATCAGACGAGAGGAGGAACAAAAGAGAGAGAAGATAGTAAGAGAGTCTAAAGAGGAGGAAATGAGAAAATGTAACAGCAGAGAGACAGAAATCAGACAGGAGGAGGAACAAAAGAGAGAGAAGATAGTAAGAGAGTCTAAAGAGGAGGAAATGAGAAAATGTAACAGCAGAGAGACAGAAATCAGACAGGAGGAGGAACAAAAGAGAGAGAAGATAGTTAGAGAGTCTAAAGAGGAGGAAATGAGAAAATGTATCAGCAGAGAGACAGAAATCAGACGAGAGGAGGAACAAAAGAGAAAACAGATGGAAAGAAAGATGAAAGAAGAGGAAATCAGGAACATTGAGAACAGGGAGGAAGAGATCAGAAAAGAGGAGGAACTGAAACGGACTCAAATAGAAAAAGAGATGAAAGCAGAGGAGAAAAGAAAGATGAATGAGATGGCAGTTAAATTAAGAGATGAACAATATGAGAACCAAAAACTTAGAGCAGAATTAGAGGAAATGCATAATATAAAATTCTGGTTAATCATCGTAGTTCTGTTCACTGTGTCCCTCTTTGTGGCTTTTCTGTGGAGTGGTAGGAATAAGAGAACTGGAAAATGAAAGAAAGAAAAGCAAGTTAAAAAAGAGTTAAACTAACTACCACCACTTGTCATACTACCAGATTCAAAGCAGCAAATAACGTTTTCTGGTTACTGGTCTTCGCAGTTACTTTGGTCACAGTGACCTTTACTCATCAAGTCAAACATCATAAAACATCATTAAAAAAGTCACTCACGCTGAAAAAATGTCTTTTTATAGTTTATTCTGCTGTATACATTTAAACAGAACTTGTCTGTTTCTGTATTTCATTGTAACCATTCTGTACTTCCAAGCACACAATGCATGCTGGGTAGCTCACCTGTCACCGCACTGCTAAGAGGTGCAGCAGAGAGTGTGCCAGTCAAACCAGATCAGAGGAGAAATTGCACCTACCGCACCTACTCACCAGCTACTGTTTCACCATGATGATCGATTCAGATGTGGTGTTGAAAACACTCTAACTATATGAAAATGTTAGGTACAGTACTAACTTGTGGCTGCAGTACTGAACATGAAGTCAGAACAATTAAAGTACCATTAGCAAACAAGCTAGCATTCATTCTGCCATATTTATTTTTAGATTCTTTTCCTTTGACTTTTTACAGCAGTTTTAACTACCTTGTTCAGTGTCAGTCTGAGCTACAGATCCCCAGAAATGTTCATGTTTTTATCTACTCTCCGTTTTGTCTCTTCGCTCCTGCTCTCGGTCTGGACTTGAACTTGTCTACTACAAAGTCTCAGTCTTGCCTGAGATTCGCCTCTAGTGGTCCTGAGTACACTGGAGCCAGTGAAATGTAATAGCTTACAATGGTACGTCTTTGTTTTATGATTCTTTAAAACTTTCAGAAATAAACATGCTTTGATATTGTTTGACGTTTTCTATTTATAATGTGATGTGATTCCAATAGGTGTATTTTAAAAGTCATTGATTTGTTCCTAATTTTATTTTATTTTTGCTAATCACACAGTTTGGTTTCTGTATAGCTTAAACTTAATTGATACTCGCTTTATCTGCTGTATATGAATATGTGTAAAATTATTCCAATAAAGCACGGAGGAAAAAAGTGTGACGCTGTGCAGAGTGAAAGTGAAAGTACGAGACTGTGAGAAGTGATTTTTCTGTAAAGCTGCTTTGTTTTACAACACCTGTTGTAAAAATCGCTGTATAAATAAACTTTGATTTTGACTTTGACTAGTAACAGACACACACTATGTAAGACTCTTTGTACTTTATTTTTAAACAATCTTTTAATGTTATAAACTAACTAGGAACGTTTTAACAGCAGTACCTGCATGTGGTATTGTACCACATAATTCCCCAGTTAATACCTACAATTTGCAGGGAATTTCAGAGTAATTTATCTAGACTGCTTTGGAACTTACCTCAAATATTACATAGAACTTTGGAGTTTGTACCACACATTTTCCCAGTGAATATCTAGAACTGAAGGACCAGTGAAAGGAAGCATCACTGTCTTTATGTCTTTTTCTATGAACACTTTCACCTCTTCAGCTGTTCCATCATAAGTGATGATGAGTTCTGAGGGCGTCTCCAGCAGTGACGACAGCATTTCAGCCAAATATGACAAAAGAAATCCTTTGAGTGTCACAACAGTGTGGTGAGTGTGTTACTGTAAATCAGTGTGTTACTGTAAATCAGTGTGTGAGTGTGTTACTGTAAATCAGTGTGTTACTGTAAATCAGTGTGTGTGTTACTGTAAATCAGTGTGTGTTACTGTAAATCAGTGTGTTACTGTAAATCAGTGTGTGTGTTACTGTAAATCAGTGTGTGTGAGTGTGTTTCTGTAAATCAGTGTGCGTTACTGTAAATCAGTGTGAGTGTGTTACTGTAAATCAGTGTGTTATTGTAAATCAATGTGTGTGTGTTACTGTAAATCAGTGTGTGTGAGTGTGTTTCTGTAAATCAGTGTGCGTTACTGTAAATCAGTGTGTGTGTGTTACTGTAAATCAGTGTGTTACTGTAAATCAGTGTAAGTGTGTTACTGTAAATCAGTGTGTGTTACTGTAAATCAGTGTGTGTGTGTTACTGTAAATCAGTGTGCGTGACTGTGTTACTGTAAATCAGTGTGTGTTACTGTAAATCAGTGTGTGTGTGTTACTGTAAATCAGTGTGCATGACTGTGTTACTGTAAATCAGTGTGTGTTACTGTAAATCAGTGTGTGTGTGTTACTGTAAATCAGTGTGTGTGTGTTACTGTAAATCAGTGTGTGTGTTTGTTACTGTAACTGTGTGTGTGAGTGTGTTACTGTAAATCAGTGTGTTACTGTAAATCAGTGTGTGTGTTACTGTAAATCAGTGTGTGAGTGTGTTACTGTAAATCAGTGTGTTACTGTAAATCAGTGTGTGTGTTACTGTAAATCAGTGTGTTACTGTAAATCAGTGTGTGTGTGTGTGTTTCTGTAAATCAGTGTGTTACTGTAAATCAGTGTGTTATTGTAAATCAGTGTGTGTGTGTTACTGTAAATCAGTGTGTGTGAGTGTGTTTCTGTAAATCAGTGTGCGTTACTGTAAATCAGTGTGTGTGTGTTTCTGTAAATCAGTGTGCGTTACTGTAAATCAGTGTGTGTGTGTTTCTGTAAATCAGTGTGCGTTACTGTAAATCAGTGTGTGTGTTACTGTAAATCAGTGTAAGTGTGTTACTGTAAATCAGTGTGTGTTACTGTAAATCAGTGTAAGTGTGTTACTGTAAATCAGTGTGCGTTACTGTAAATCAGTGTGTGTGTTACTGTAAATCAGTGTAAGTGTGTTACTGTAAATCAGTGTGTGTTACTGTAAATCAGTGTGTGTTACTGTAAATCAGTGTGTGTGTGTTACTGTAAATCAGTGTGTGTGTTTGTTACTGTAAATCAGTGTGCGTGAGTGTGTTACTGTAAATCAGTGTGTGTGAGTGTGTTACTGTAAATCTGTGTGTGAGTGTGTTACTATATATCAGTGTGTGTGTTACTGTAAATCAGTGTGTGTGAGTGTGTTACTGTAAATCTGTGTGTGAGTGTGTTACTATATATCAGTGAGTGTGTTACTGTAAATCAGTGTGTGTGTGTGTGTTACTGTAAATCAGTGTGTGTGAGTGTGTTACTGTAAATCAGTGTGCGTTACTGTAAATCAGTGTGTGTGTGTTACTGTAAATCAGTGTGTGTGTGTTACTGTAAATCAGTGTGCGTTACTGTAAATCAGTGTGTGTGTTACTGTAAATCAGTGTGCGTTACTGTAAATCAGTGTGTGTGTTACTGTAAATCAGTGTGCGTTACTGTAAATCAGTGTGCGTGTGTTACTGTAAATCAGTGTGTGTGTCACTGTAAATCAGTGTGCGTGTGTTACTGTAAATCAGTGTGTGTGTCACTGTAAATCAGTGTGCGTTACTGTAAATCAGTGTGTGTGTGTTACTGTAAATCAGTGTGTGTGTGTTACTGTAAATCAGTGTGTGTCACTGTAAATCAGTGTGCGTTACTGTAAATCAGTGTGTGTGTGTTACTGTAAATCAGTGTGTGTGTGTTACTGTAAATCAGTGTGCGTTACTGTAAATCAGTGTGTGTGTGTTACTGTAAATCAGTGTGCGTTACTGTAAATCAGTGTGCGTGTGTTACTGTAAATCAGTGTGTGTGTCACTGTAAATCAGTGTGCGTTACTGTAAATCAGTGTGTGTGTGTTACTGTAAATCAGTGTGTGTGTGTTACTGTAAATCAGTGTGCTTTACTGTAAATCAGTGTGTGTGTGTTACTGTAAATCAGTGTGCGTTACTGTAAATCAGTGTAAGTGTGTTTCTGTAAATCAGTGTGTGTGTGTCACTGTAAATCAGTGTGCGTTACTGTAAATCAGTGTGTGTTACTGTAAATCAGTGTGCGTGACTGTGTTACTGTAAATCAGTGTGTGTTACTGTAAATCAGTGTGTGTGTGTGTTACTGTAAATCAGTGTGTGTGTTTGTTACTGTAACTCAGTGTGTGTGAGTGTGTTACTGTAAATCAGTGTGTGTGTTTGTTACTGTAAATCAGTGTGTGTGAGTGTGTTACTGTAAATCTGTGTGTGTGTTTGTTACTATATATCAGTGTGTGTGTTACTGTAAATCAGTGTGTGTGTGTGTGTTACTGTAAATCAGTGTGTGTGTTTGTTACTGTAAATCTGTGTGAGTGTGTTACTGTAAATCTGTGTGTGTGTTTGTTACTATATATCAGTGTGTGTGTTACTGTAAATCAGTGTGTGTGTGTGTTACTGTAAATCAGTGTGTGTGAGTGTGTTACTGTAAATCAGTGTGTGTGTGTGTCACTGTAAATCAGTGTGCGTTACTGCAAATCAGTGTAAGTGTGTTACTGTAAATCAGTGTGTGTGTGTTACTGTAAATCAGTGAGTGTGTGTCTTACTGCAAATCAGTGTGCTTTACTGTAAATCAGTGTGTGTGTGTGTTACTGTAAATCAGTGTGTGTGAGTGTGTTACTGTAAATCAGTGTGTGTGTGTGTGTCACTGTAAATCAGTGTGCGTTACTGTAAATCAGTGTGTGTGTGTTACTGTAAATCAGTGTGTGTGAGTGTGTTACTGTAAATCAGTGTGTGTGTGTGTGTCACTGTAAATCAGTGTGCGTTACTGTAAATCAGTGTGTGTTACTGTAAATCAGTGTAAGTGTGTTACTGTAAATCAGTGTGTGTTACTGTAAATCAGTGTGTGTGTGTTACTGTAAATCAGTGTGTGTGTGTGTGTCACTGTAAATCAGTGTGCGTTACTGTAAATCAGTGTGTGTTACTGTAAATCAGTGTAAGTGTGTTACTGTAAATCAGTGTGTGTTACTGTAAATCAGTGTGTGTGTATTACTGTAAATCAGTGTGTGTTACTGTAAATCTGTGTGTTTGTTACTGTAACTCAGTGTGTGTGAGTGTGTTACTCTAAATCAGTGTGTGTGTGTGTTACTGTAACTCTGTGTGAGTGTGTTACTGTATATCAGTGTGTGAGTGTGTTACTATATATCAGTGTGTGAGTGTGTTACTATATATCAGTGTGTGTGTGTGTTACTATATATCAGTGTGTGTGTGTTACTGTAAATCAGTGTGTTACTGTATATCAGTGTGTGAGTGTGTTACTATATATCAGTGTGTGAGTGTGTTACTATATATCAGTGTGTGTGTGTTACTGTAAATCAGTGTGTTACTGTATATCAGTGTGTGAGTGTGTTACTATAAATCTGTGTGAGTGTGTTACTATATATCAGTGTGTGTGAGTGTGTTACTGTAAATCTGTGTGAGTGTGTTACTATATATCAGTGTGTGTGTGTGTGTGTTACTGTAAATCTGTGTTACTGTAAATCAGTGTGTGTGTGTTACTGTAAATCAGTGTGTATGAGTGTGTTACTGTAAATCAATGTGTGTTACTGTAAATCAGTGTGTGTTACTGTAAATCAGTGTGCGTGAGTGTGTTACTGTAAATCAGTGTGTGTGTGTTACTGTAAATCAGTGTGTGTGTTACTGTATATCAGTGTGTGTGTGTGTTACTGTAAATCAGTGTAAGTGTGTTACTGTAAATCAGTGTGTGTTACTGTAAATCAGTGTGTGTGTGTTACTGTAAATCAGTGTGTGTTACTGTAAATCTGTGTGTTTGTTACTGTAACTCAGTGTGTGTGAGTGTGTTACTCTAAATCAGTGTGTGTGTTTGTTACTGTAACTCTGTGTGAGTGTGTTACTGTATATCAGTGTGTGAGTGTGTTACTATATATCAGTGTGTGAGTGTGTTACTATATATCAGTGTGTGTGTGTTACTGTAAATCAGTGTGTTACTGTATATCAGTGTGTGAGTGTGTTACTATAAATCTGTGTGAGTGTGTTACTATATATCAGTGTGTGTGAGTGTGTTACTGTAAATCTGTGTGAGTGTGTTACTATATATCAGTGTGTGTGTGTGTGTGTTACTGTAAATCTGTGTTACTGTAAATCAGTGTGTGTGTGTTACTGTAAATCAGTGTGCATAAGTGTTACTGTAAATCAGTGTGTGTTACTGTAAATCAGTGTGTGTTACTGTAAATCAGTGTGCGTGTGTGTGTTACTGTAAATCAGTGTGTGTTACTGTAAATCAGTGTGTGTGTGTGTTACTGTATATCAGTGTGTGTGTGTGTTACTGTAAATCAGTGTGTGTGTGTTACTGTAAATCAGTGTGTGAGTGTTACTATATATCAGTGTGTGTGCATGTGTTACTGTAAATCAGTGTGTGTGTTTGTTACTGTAACTCAGTGTGTGTGAGTGTGTTACTGTAAATCTGTGTGTGTTTGTTACTGTAACTGTGTGAGTGTGTTACTGTAAATCAGTGTGTTACTGTATATCAGTGTGTGTGTGTTACTCTAACTCAGTGTGTGTTACTGTAAATCAGTGTGTTACTGTAACAGTGTGTGTGTGTTACTGTAAATCAGTGTGTGTGTTTTACTGTAAATGAGTGTGTGTGAGTGTTACTGTAACAGTGTGTGTGAGTGTGTAAATGTGTGATGAAGAGTCTGAACAGTGTGTGTGTGTTACTGTAACAATGTGTGTTACTGTAAATCAGTGTGTGTGAGTGTGTTACTCTAACTCAGTGTGTGTGTGTTACTGTAAATCAGTGTGTGAGTGTGTTACTCTAACTCAGTGTGTGTGTTACTGTAAATCAGTGTGTGAGTGTGTTACTGTAACTCAGTGTGTGTGAGTGTGTTACTGTAAATCAGTGTGTGAGAGTGTGTTACTCTAACTCAGTGTGTGTGTGTGTTACTGTAAATCAGTGTGTGAGAGTGTGTTACTCTAACTCAGTGTGTGTGAGTGTGTGTGTGTGTTACTGTAAATCAGTGTGTGTGAGTGTGTGTGTGTGTTACTGTAAATCAGTGTGTGTGAGTGTGTGTGTGTTACTGTAAATCAGTGAGTGTGAGTGTGTGTGTGTGTTACTGTAACCCAGTGTGTCCTTTTTAAATGAACTTTCAGTTCAGAGCAGTTGAGCCAGAGACTCTCACCTGTTTCCAGCTGCATCTCCATGAAGAGCGATCAGTCAATGGGCTCTCCAGTCAATTTCAGCAATAACTCCAGTGATGAACATTATTCCACAGATCAGCGGTATAGAATCTTCTTCATATCAAAACCATGACTGTCTTGAGAAGATTTTAACTGTTAGTGTTCAAATGGTACTCTTTCTCTTAATCCTTTAGAGCTCACACAAAGAGGTTCTAACCACTTTTTCATTTAATAAGCTGATTTCTTAATGTGCCTGTTGCAGTTATTTTATATATAAAGAACCTGATCTAATAACAATGTGTTCAGTTTGTGTCGCAAACTAGCTTTTTGAGCAGGAAAACACATGAGTGGGAATATAGTTCACACACCTATTTTTTTATTGTGATTAAACAGATTAATAACACTCGCTCATCTGAACCACGTCCTGAATGAGCTCACACACCCACTCAGCAAACCTGCTGCATCAAGCAATAAAAGAAGCCTTGTGCATCTTTCATACAGTGATAGAGACACAGTAGAACACAGAAAGTAGCGTAAGGGATTCCTGCTTCATCTGAGTGGTCATAATGTTATAAGTCATAAGGCATGCTGAAATTTATAAAGTGATGTTACTGTTTCCAACGTGGACGTGTACGTGAGCTTCTCTGGCAGCAGATTTAAAGGAGCGGCTTTCTGTTATTTGACGCCCGGTACTGGACCCATCAGGTTCATGACAGAATATATTGTTTGGACAAAGTGATGCATTGAATAAGCTTGTACATCATTTCCACATGAACAACATGTATTAATTATCGCTGAACAACTTATTGGGTTCACGATTTTAGATTCTCATGATATTTTGAGCAAAATTGGAATGATCAACACAATTTTGTCTTCTAGTTTGTTATTTCCAACCACTGGTGTAATGTATGTTATTCATGTCAAAATTATGTTCATGTGTAAAATGAATTCAGTGCATCAGTTTTTCCAGTAGATGGTTTATTCACTCTTACTGAAACATTGAATTCATCACTGGAGCTCCTGTTGTTCTCACTGTCTCGTCATTCTGTTCTGTTGGTTTTTGTTCAGAATCCACTCAGCTACCCGTCAGAAGAGAATCTTCTGCAAATACCGCCCCAGACATGCATGTGTTTGTGGTGAGACGTGCAGCGCTAGAACTCAGAAATGCATGCATGCCCAGCCGTGTAGCTGCTGCGGTGGCATCGTCAGTCCACAGGTGAGTCAGAACAGGCAGGTGGAGTTCAGTTCATTCAATTCTATTTCACTTCAGCTCATCCATGTGTTGAGGAACTGAAATTCAGTTGTGCAGATCAGTGACTCGCAACACACTGAATTATTCTTTAATTAATTATTAACTAAGTGATGTATTCAGTAACTGCTGCGAATTTCTAAACAACTGTTATGAATTGTTTTGTAATTATGAATTATTCAGTAATTACTATGAAGCTAATATTTTAGCTGTGTAGTTTGTGGAGTTACAGTGGATCTGCTGATCCGGAGAGTTCATTGTGTTAACTCACAGATTTCTAATCCTGGTCCTGGAGCACTGCTGCCCTGCACATTTGACTGTTTTCCTACTCTGACACACTCTATCACACACTGCAGCTCAGGAGGGGCTTATTAAATAGCTGATTGTTTGGACTGAGCAGGTGGATCAGTAAAGTCTGCAGGGCACTACTGGTTCTCCAGGACCAGGACTACAAACCACTGGGTTAGACAGTGAATTCATCCTCCTTTGTGAATTATGTGCTAAATTGATTGCAGTGCTTGTTTACACAGCTCTCCTTTTGTAACTTTGCAGAACCTCACTGCAGCTTCAGAACAGGACGCAGCTAAACCTGTGCATGAGGATGGTCCACAAAGAGGAAATCGTAAGTGAGCAGAACTCAAACAGAGCAGAGAACTCGAGGCACATACGTCTCTTTTAATGTAAATCCCCACAGTGACAGTGATAATAGGAATATTTGAAGTCAAGAAATAAGGTTACATAATGTTAATTAGCAATCTTATACATATGTACTGTAATTATAATGAGCCACATCTTTTTCTTTCCACTGGTAAAAATGTTTTTTCAGGCTCCATTTGGTTATTTTGGATCCTGTCTCCGCTGAATGGTCTCCTCTGTGTCACTGCAGCTGCAGCTGTAATGTATTTTATGAGTTCCTCTAAAATGCAAGGTGAGTGTGAGAACACTGCATAACCTTTTCATACATGGGTCACTTTTTTGTTTCTACCTGTAGTGCAAAATGCATATATAATAATTTAGATCTGTCTTATGTTTATTGAAACCTATATTAAGTAGGTAAGTTTTAATTAAAGCACATTTAAATCAATGGACGTTGCCCAAATGCTTTACAAAATGAGCAGATAAACTATAAGCATAATGAGACAAATAGGAAAACAGAAAAATAAAACAGAGCAAAAATGAAGCAACATGAAAACAAGCAGGTGGAACTAAAATATACACTAATAAAACAACAGAAAAACAAAGAGTAAAAAAGAGAACCAAAGAGACAAATAAACAGCATGAAAATGAAATAAATAGATATATTAAACACCTTCATCATATGTAAAAAAGTTGATGGGTGCAAGTGAGCAAAGGGACAGTGGGTGATTTAGTATAATAGTATAATAGACAAACTGCTAATCTACTCAGTCAAGTTTAGGATTGTTTGGGTTACTGAAAGAAATGGGTTATTGTCTAAGTCATGATCTGGTTCAGTCCCATTTCAGTTTAGGCTGGTCATTTACTGAGCTGTAATTCATTTTTCATGCATATAGGATAAATATAAATTTATATATAAAATTTGAGAAAGTATGTCAAAATAATGAGATAGTATTTCAAAATAATGACCCGGTATTGTAAAATAATGATTTAGTACTGCAAAATAATGGAATAGCATCTTATAATAAAGCAATAAGCCACGAGAGGCAGGGCATTACTGCGATTATATCACGGGAAAGGGTGTTCTTAGGCACAGTGCAAAGCAGAGTAAAACCTCTGTCCTTGTGATAAAATTGCAGTAACACACAGCCTCAAGGGGCTTATTGCTTTTATAAAATGGCAGCCAACATAAAATAGGATAAAATACCACATTTTTAAGAAAATAATTTATTATTAATAATAATTGACATAAAAAGTATTCCACCAAGAATTCCTTTAGCATATGACATCATTGCCAAGCAATGGAGTCGTTTAGGCTGTTAGTTATCTTTTAGCGTGTAATTTACAACAGCTTCCAACGCGGCTTATCCATCAGATTTCAGGACCGCAACTGTAGGTTTTATAATAATGGCTTAGTATTTCAAAATAATGACTTAATATCTTAATATAATGGAATAGCAAATCACCGAACAATGAAAAAAGGAGAGAAAATTAAGATCTGCGAAAATGTAGAATGCTCAGGCTGCTCAACCAATGCTCAAAGTTTGTTCGTTGTTTTGTGTTGCTAGATATAATATAAAATACATATATAAAATACAAAATTTTTAAGAAAATAATTTATTATTAATAATAATTGACAAACAAGTATTCCTTTAGCATATGATATCATTGCCAAGCAACCATGGACAGCTGAATGCGGAGAACATTCAGTCACCCATCGCTGTATATTACAGTCATTTCATAAACTTTTTCTCGTACAACAACGAACATATGATAACAGCACTGTTTAATGCAAAAACATTCGCTTTATAAATACTTTTTGGTCACCAAATTACCACTGCAAATCTCATTTAGCATCAGTCTAATGGTGCTCCTCTTCTTAGGTTGGGGCTGAATCTCAAATGGCTCCCTGCTTTCTACATTGTGCACTATGTAGGAATTTAAATACTGATTCACGCACACCAACAGTGCATAATATCGCTAAACAGTCATTTGAGATTCATCCACATTCATACTCTACAGTTGATGCGCTATTTGGCTGTTGAGTCTAGAATTTCAAAACTTAGCACACTATTTAGGGAGCACAGAGTCGTACTTAGCCTGGGTTTGATGCTACTTCTGACTGAAACATGGACATTTGAAGCATGTAAGCCATTCAGGTGACATTCTTTAGACTTTTATTCTGCCATTTTACAGTGAATCATATTGTAAGTTCTTGAATTCGAGTCTTTGATATTAACAATGGAGTCGTTTAGGCTGTTAGTTATCTTTTAGCGTGTATTTTACAACAGCTTCGAACGCAGCTTAGCCAATCATATTTCAGGACCGCAACTGTAAGTTTTATAATAATGGCTTAGTATTTCAAAATAATGACTTAATATCTTAATATAATGGAATAGCAAATCACCGAACAATAAAAAAAGGAGAGAAAATCAAGATCTGAGAAAATGTAGAATGCTCAGGCTGCTCAACCAATGCTCAAAGTCTCAAAGAGGCCATGTTTACAGTATCATAAGACATTTTAATGATACATAATATCACAGTATTTTTACATGCAGTCACAATGCACTAGCAGTGCTACATTTAAAAAAAATACTAGTTTTGTGTTGCTAGACATGTGAAACATGAATGTGAAAGCTGAATATAATTAGGATTAATTCAGTTGTTGCAGCCTAGTTTAGAGAGTTATTTGGATTTTGTGTTGGATTAAATCTTGCCATAGTATTGTTTTGGCAGTGAGCATTGACAAAAACAACAACAGTGCCAGATTTGAATTGAACTGAATTGAATTGAACGCGGTCCGTGTTGCAAATCTGCTTAAATTTTAATAGTGACCTAAAAAAGTGCAGAATCCTGAATATTTTAAATATTTTTTTCTTTATTTTACTTGTCATGATGTTTTGTTATTTTATTTTCACAATTCACAGATAAACCTGTGCTTGAAGACTGTCTGCAAACAGTAAATCGTAAGCAGACAGAACTCAAACAGAGCAGATACTCTACTACTTACACGCTGAAGCATACACGTCACTGTCTGTGACAATGTTAATCATTAACAATGTTAATATAATGTAAATATTTTCTAGTCAATAAATATTTTGTAGTCAATAAATAGAGTAAAGAGTAAAACAGAGAACCAAATATATATACGTAGATATATACACTATATTGCCCAAAGTCTCCACAGATGTTCTATCAGGTTGAGGTCAGGACTCTGTGCAGGCCAGTCAAGTTCTTGCACACCAAACTCACTCATGCATGTCTATATGGACCTTGCCTTGTGCACTGGTGTGCAGTCATGTTGGAACAGGAAGGGGCCGTCCCCAAACTGTTCCCATAAAGTTGGGAGCATGAAAGTGTCCAAAATCTCTTGGTCTGCTGAAGCATTAAGACTTCCTTTAACTGGAACTAAGGGGCCGAGCCCAACTCCTGAAAAACAACCCCACAACATAATCCCCCCTCCACCAAACTTTACACTTGGCACAATGCAGTCAGACAAGTACCATTCTCCTGGCAACTGCCAAATCCAGACTCGTCTATCGGATAGCCAGACAGAGAAGCGTGATTGGTCACTCCAGAGAATACGTCTCCACTGCTCTAGAGTCCAGTGGCGGCACTTTACACCACTGCATTCAACGCTTTGCATTGAGCTTGGCAATGTAAGGCTTGGATGCAGCTGCTCAGCCATGGAAACCCATTCTATGAAGCTCTCTACGCTGTTCTTGAGTTAATCTGAAGGCCACATGAAGTTTGGAGGTCTGAAGCGATTGACTCTGCAGAAAGTTGGCGACCTCTGCGCACTATGCACCTCAGCATCTGCTGACCCCGTTCTGTCATTTTATGTGGACTACCACTTTGTGGCTGAGCCCTTCGAGCCCTCAGGTAGCACTGCCTGAGAAACTGTCATGCTACTGCATTAAATATAGCCACTCAGGCTATGGAGTACTTCAGAAAACCATTGTCACTTAACACAGTCTGCCGCTTCATCAAGTAATGCAACTTGAAACTCTAGTATGCAAGGAGAAAGCCATGCACCAATTCTATGCAGAAACACAGCTGAGTTCTCTAGGCCTGAACTCATCTGAAGACATTTGAAATGTGTGTTGTTGTCAGATGAGTCCATGTTTCAGCTTATTTTTTGGAAAAAATGAACATTGAGTTCTCCATGAAAGGGACTGTCCAAGCTTGAGGGGCTCATGGTACAGTTCGAGTTTTGACCATTGCCATTAATTAGGGAGGGGCTGGTCCGTTTTTGGCTTTGTAGGCAAGCATCTGATGAGTGCAGCTACAGGACGCCAGTGAAGGGAGCGCAGCAGTGGGTTGACATGACTGAACTTAGGGAGATTAAAGACGAGCCGAGCTGCTGCATTCTAGATGAGTTGCAGAGGCTTGATGGTCTGCATAGGAAGACCATCGAAGAGCAAGTTGCAGTAGTTAAGCCTTGAGATGACAAGAGACTGAATTAGCACTTGGGTGGCCTCTTGAGTGAGAAAGGGTCGGATCCTCCGGATGTTGTACAGGAGAAATCCGGCAATAACTAGCCATCCAGAATCACATCAAGACTTCTTGCCTACAGACGGAACAATCAAACAGTTCTCGAATGAGATGGCAAGATCATGATGAGGACCTGTAGTTGCAGGGATGAATAGCAGCTCAGTCTTACTAGGCTTCATGTGGTGAGCTGCCATCCATGAAGAGATAATTCTACATTATAAAATAAAATGAAATCAGGAAAGCAATGTTGTAAAACAAGGAAAAACTATAAAAACTGAAAATAAATACAGAGTAATTTGAAGGAATTTTGTTAAAACGAGCACAAACATTTGCTACTCCACCAAACCACTTGAGTGACAGGAAATGAGTCATTTACATTTACAGCATTTAGCAGACGCTCTTATCCAGAGCGACTTACAGAAAGTGCTTTGTCTATCCAGAGAAAGTATCTTTGCAAGTTACCAATAGGTTAGAGAGAAAGCCAGTCCTGAGCTCAGATACTGCTGGAATCAGAAAGTCATTTTGATACCTAGAGAAAAAGGAACAGAGTTGAACACAGAACAGTGCAGTACAATACAATACATAAGTGCAGTACAATACTTTACAATCAATACTTAATTCAGCGAGGACAGCCAGTGGGAGTTCGTTCCACCACCTGGGTGCCAGCACAGAGTCTTGGTGCTTGTCTTCCATGCTCCTTGAAGGATGGCGGGTCAAGCCAAGCTGTACTCGAAGCTCGAAGGGCCATCAAGTAGGGAGGGGCTGGTCCATTTTTGGCTTTGTAGGCAAGCATAAGGGTTTTAAATCTCATATGTGCAGCTACAGGAAGCCAGTGAAGGTAGCGCAGCAGTGGGGTGACGTGGCTGAACTTGGGGAAACTGAAGACGAGTCGTGCTGCTGCATTCTGGATGAGCTGCAGAGGCTTGATGGCCTCCGTTGGAAGACCAGCCAAGAGCGAGTTGCATTAGTCAAGCTTTGAGACGACAAGAAACTGCATTAGCACCTGGGTGGCCTCTCGAGTGAGAAAGGGTCGGATCCTCCGGATATTGTACAGGAGAAATCTGCATGACCGAGTTAGGTTCACAATCATAGCCAGCTGTCACTGTGTCTTAAGATGCCTTGACAGTATTTATAAGATGTCTTGAGACATTTTTTTATGCCAAGACATCTCAAGAACGTCTTAAGACGTATGAGTGAAGACACAATCTTTGTCTTGAGACAGGAAAGTTAACGTCTTAAGACAAAGAAGTAATTATTTTGTGTGTCTTGAAGATGCGGCATGACTTAAGACATCATTTTGTCTTAAGACACAGAGATGTTGTGTCTTAAAACAGTTCAGTTGAGTCCAAAGAGTAGTCCATTACAAAAAGTCCTGTGGTATGAATGTGGTATTCCTGTGATACTGCCAAACTTACACTACAAAATTACAACTGAGGATTACCAGGATTACCACAGCACTGCCTAATGTAAAATAATATATAAGTATGTCCTCAAGAAACAGCCTGCTGTAATCTTATGGTTTTTGTGTGATATTACTAAAAGAACAGTCACTAAGGTTTTACTTGCTGTACTTTTGTGATTCTTTTATTGTATGTTTTGTTTTTTGATTATTGCAGAAATGTGTTTACAGTAGCAAAACAGCAAAAGAAAAATTCAATTCTTAAACCATTTGCCTTACCTTAAAATATTTAAACTCGTTTCCTTATATAATAGAAGTTCATGGTAGAATAACTTTTCATTTATCTCCATTGGTAAATGTTACAATCACAGTCAGTCACAGCCTTTTGCTCATTTGCAGAAAACATGCTATGATTAAAACAACATTGATCTATTTTCAAGTGTACAGTTGTAACCAGAGACAACAAGCTAGGAACCAAGATAAAACAACTTTGAACTAATAGGAAGTAAGTGTACTTAACAGCTAACCTGGGTACTGTAGAGACTTAATGCAGAAAAAGCGCTTGGCTCACTCTCTTCAAGATCAACACTTCTATTTATTTTCTTAAGCAGATCAGGGCTGCCCAAAGTTTGACCATTAGGACTTTTAATTTGGCCCAACAGAAAAAGAAAACAAACTTTTTATATACTATGTATAATTTTCAAAATTATTATCTCCAGGTATTGGAAAACACAAACAATAGTAAACAAATGTATTTGAGTAGTGATATAAAGACCTTTATTGTTTCACCACGTAAAATTACATAATAAACAGATTTTTGTTTAAATGTCCAACTTCATACTTTGACTTTAATATATTAAGACATGGCCTCCAGTGAAGCTGTATGATAATCCTGTACTGCTGTCTCATGTATTTCAAGGGTTTGCACTTTTCTACTCTGTGTCTAGATTAAAAACAAACAAACAAACAAACAAAACAAAACAGCTCAGTTCATTCAGTACAGAGAGGTGCGAACCGGAAAAAAAAGCTCTATGGGAGGACAAACACAAGACTGGCGGGAGTTTCAGACCAATTAGAGCGACTCCGCCGCTTGGACGTTCGGTTTTGAAGCGTGAGCGTTGTATTGGGGGCGTTCATCCGTTGAAAGCCAAGCGCGACCGTTACAGCCTTTACAGTGAGCGAGTCTCTCAGGTCGCTAACGCGGGCAGTTTTATCGAGTTTGTTTAGCGAGTGTTAAACCTCGATAAGACTCTCTTACACTCCTTACTGAGACAGCGCCGCCTGCCGGGTGACGCTTTCAGCTCCCAGAAACAAGGATTTTCAGCTGCGTAGTTAGCTAAAGCTAACAAGCTGACTGGACCGAGTGGAGTGGCGACTGGAGTCACGACTGCAATGGTCAGAATCTGCTTTTAAAATGTGAGTAGTGACGAAATGAGATAAGCAGCCTCACTAACAGTCAGCTGGAGTACACTTTTCTGTATTTCCGGGTCGATCTGCCGAGTGAAGACACCAGCGGTAGGTTAGCATAAAGTTAGCCAGCGGCTGAGCGGCTTGTCTGTTTACGCCTCGCGCCCGCTCCCAGCAGCGCACTGTAAACATACCGCCCAGCTTCTGCTCTCTACAGCTGTCTCACCCCAGCAGCGCACTGTAAACATACCGCCCAGCTTCAGCTCTCTACAGCTGTCTCACCCCAGCAGTGCAGCCATGGAGGCTCATAAGGTTTGGAGGATGGACAGGTGAGATGTTATGCTAGTGTGCAGCTGAATCAGTCAGTTGAAGCATTGAGGTAGCTGGAACAAATGAAGGGCTGCCTCAGAATTAAATCTAAGACTGATCACAGTGCAGCAGGGTCAGCACACTGAACAATACAACAATGAAACTGAACATAGTCCGTCAGTCTGTGTAGCTCAGAGAGGGTAGTAATGATTTTAATTTGCTCAGTTACATTTACTCTAGTAACGTCTTGGTGGATTTGTACTTTCTGGAGTATTTTTAAAATGTATTATTTGTGCTTTAGATTAATAATCTATGTTTTACTCAGCTACATTTATTAGAAATATATAATGACCAGTTTGTTTTGTGTTTAAGTTCATTGTTATGCCTTGCTGTTATTGTTTTGCTGCATTTACCTCATGTGTCTGCTTTGTTTTAGATGTTTCTCATCAGAAATCATCTGAAGCTGAGCAACTGGTGAGACTCAAGTTTTAACTTTTTAAATGAAACTATAAGAATGTCAGACAGATGTTTAGATTTGGTGGGTATTTCAAACAAATATAATTCATGAAGTATTTATTGTAATACAGAAGAGCAGAATGTTTAGGTAAAGCTGGGTTAGAGTACTCAAATATCTGCACTTTGTTCATTCAATTTATTAATATGTCATTTGCCATTACAGCTGTGTTCAAAATATTGATCTGGCAATATCACCAACACTGTGTCAATATTTATGAATTTACTTCTTCATGGTACCTTAATGTGTAATACTGCAAGTCTCAGAGCCCTACAATTTATAGCATACAGCATGTGGTAAACATGATCTAATAGAGTTCAGCTCTTATTAATAATCATTTCATGTAATAATTCTCTGTGAGAGATTAGAGGCATTGAACTCTTCAAACGCCTGGTTCTTGTCACTGCCACTATGAACAACTCTGACTCTGTAAGTTTTTCCACAGTGGAACATTTTGTATCAAACTACTTTTTGCATCTTAATGATGAAATTGTGCCTAAAAATCGTGTAATTCTCCTTTAACACAGCTTTTAACAGATACAGATATCAGTACTAAGCTCACACCTGCCTCAACTGCAAATGATCATTTCTGTTACGTGTTGACTTTGGCATGTTAGAGGATGAAAACGATAGAATTGTGAATTATCTAATCAACTTTATTGTTTTCAATCCTTCTAAAGGAACATCCTCTCTTTGGGCCTCATCCAGTATGGTGGCAGTCCATATCATTCTCAACACTCAACTGAGCTCCTACCCAAGTGGCCTCATCCTGATGCTTCTTTCATTACACTGAACATCATTGTCTGAACATCAGCTAAGCGTGTGAGCTGGGTGCCACGCTGGAGTTCATGCATAGGTATTATTTAAAGCCTTGTCACATTTCTTTGTGTACTAAATGCCTGAGTTGATTTTCGATGAGTAAACATATGTATACTGTACATTATATTCTACTTATAAAGGGAATATATAATGCTTTCCCTTTTAATTACTGTGTTATGTAGCTTTTGCGTGTGTAAGATACAAAGCTGAAAGTATATGCCAGAAGGAGAAACTCTTTCCCACAGAAACCACTTTTCTCAGCTGCCTGAGGGCTGGAGTTCCCCAGTCCTTTTCCTTTGTTACAAGATGATGTAATCCCATAACACAATCCTTATTGCCCACCTACCAGCGAGCTTGGCACGCCCCCACACAACGCAACGCATCTACCGGAGGCCGTGTATTGGCCAACCGCTCTGGTGCTTGATCAGTCAGAGCCAAGTGAGCGAGCTAACTAATCTGAGCGTACTGGGCTCATCAGGAAGGAGGGGCTTAAAGACACAGGAGCTCTAACAGAGCGTTTCAGACAGAGGGTGGGTAAACAATTACAGTATGAGAAAAATAATGTGTTTCTGAAACACTGAAGCATGTAAATGTATTATAGTCGACCCCAAAAATAAAATTTATGAACATTGGAAATTAGCATAACAGGTCCCCTTTAAATTCAGCCTGCTTGTGTACGCAGATCCAAAAGTAATTTCAAATTTATTGTCTTAAAATTGATTTTTTTAACAGATGCATTTTCCTCATATCTCTGACAAAGAAGACCAACACTGAGAAAAAACAGAGGAAGAAGCGATGGGCTGTGAAGCTGACAGTTCTCTCACTCATCATGGATTTAACTCTAAAAGGAGAGATCGGTAACATTAGCAGTGTGATATCAGTAAGTAATGTTCAGGCATTATGGCATGGACATATGCACACTGAGTTATATGTGTCCTGTTTCCTGTGTCCACATATGTCCACATAAAATGTCCACAGCTTGGCTCTATTCCAGCTCCCAGCACATCTGAGTCTGGTATTAAGTGTTTGACAGCTGATCATTATCTGGCTCAGGTATGTTATGAGTGCTGCTGGGGTTCAGACCTCTGTATTAATCTGTTGGTCAGTTTTTCTTTTTAGTCCATATGAATTTGTCTTAAAATTTTTTCCCATCATTTATAATTGTTCATAGTACTACGTTGCTAATAACTTTGGCATAACTTATATACGGAATAACAGCAGACCTTAAAATCAGATTTATGGTTTGTGGAACTGTGTATTTATTGCAGTATGTTTAAAATTTCTACACAAAGTCAGTTAACATGTTTTTCACCGTCTGTAGAACATATCAAGTGTGATGACGCTATTGTACTATGCATATACACAGTTGTAAAAACAATCAACAATAACTGTAATCTATAATTTTTGAGCCCTGCAATGGACTGGCGACCTGTCCAGGGTGTATCCTGCCTTCCGCCCAATGACAGCTGGGATAGGCTCCAGCACCCCACCGTGACCCAGAAGGATAAGCGGTTTGGATGATGTATGTATGTATATTTTTTGAAAGCTATGTGGGTGCTTTTTCATGGGCTATGCTTTGGATTGGAGAGTAAATTATTTGAATGTAGAAGTATTCTGAATTTTTTACAGATTAACAAGGAAATACAAAACTGTAAAACAGTGATTTTTCTATACCCCTCTAAATTACATTACTGTAATTTATGCATACTTATTATTGTTCTTTGTTCTCCTTCTTATTATTAGTATTTTAAAAGTTAATAAAATGATACCTTGATAAAAAATGAAGCAACTGTAAAATAGTCATAGTAAAAAAATGTATTTTTCACACATTTTTACCACATTTTTAAAACATTAAGGGTTAATTACTATAAAAAGGTATTTAAAAGAACTGAATTAGATTTTTACATTTTGCTGCAACACTGTATTACAAAATAGTTGCATAAGAGTCTTCCCTCATACTACCACCATGTTGAAGGCATCGTCTGAACTCACAAATAAATTTTCACTGATTCCATAAGCTTTTCTAATGCAACAGAAACATTTAAAGGGGAATTCCACATTTTTCTAAACTTGGCATAATTCTGTCATTGCGATGTAAACAAAGTCATTTAGTGGTTTCATATAAAATGGCTTATTGTAGAGAAAGTTACAGACTGGGAACCATGTGCCTATTATTATTATTATTATTATTACTTTTGTTGTTAAATTTGTTCTGAAATGTATAAATGTAGTATGTACTAATGTAATGTTTGTATGTTTATAAAATAATATACAATATATATATTAAAATAAATTATACCATTATGCATCCTACATGGAACAAAAAAATTAAATAATGAAAAAAAAATAATTACTAGAATTTTTGCTATAAATAATGTTACGTTTTAAAATTCCCTTAAAAATATTTAAAAGTAAAAGATTTATTTAAAAAAATGTAGGTAAAATTTAAAAATACGTATTATGCGTCCTACATCTTGAGACATCTTGGGATGTTATTATTGCCAAGACATCTTAAGATCCGTGTCTATAGACATGTCTTAAAGACGTCTTCATTTCTTAAGACATGCCTCAAGATGTCCTAAGACATCTTTATAATGTGTCTTTAGACATGTCTTAAGACATCCCAAGACATGGTAATGGCTGGGTATGATGTGAGTCAAGAACGATAACTGGCCATCCAGAACCACACCAAGATTTCTTGCCTCTACAGACGGGACAATCAGAGAGTTCTCGAATGAGATGACAAGATCATGATGAGGACCTGTATTTGAAGGGATGAATAGCAGCTCAGTCTTGCTAGGATTGAGCTTCAGGTGATGAGCTGCCATCCATGAAGAGATGTCAGACAGACATGCCGAGATGCGACTGGAAACCTGTGTGTCAAAGGGTGAGAAAGAAAGCATTAGTTGGGTGTCATCAGCATAACAGTGATAAGAGAAGCCATGAGAGGATATTACATCACCAAGAGAGCTAGTGTTAAGAGAAAAGAGAAGAGGACCCAGCACCGAGCCTTGTGGGACACCAGTGGAGAGCCTGCATGGAGAGGATGTGGACCCTCTCCATGTTACCTGATAAGAGCGATCCTCCAGATAGGACTTGAACCACTTCCACACAGAGCCAGTGATTCCAAGGCTGGTGAGGACATCCAGAAGGATTGTGTGGTTGACCATGTTAAAAGCTACTGAGAGGTCAAGAAGAATCGGGACAGATGACAGATTGGCTGATCTTGCTGACTGGAGCTTCTCGGTCACTGCTATAAGAGGAGTGAGGATGTCAGAAGGAGACATCCTCTCTCCTCCCACTGTGCACAATAACTTGTAAACAACTGCAGCCTTTTGGGATTGCCTTTGACAGAATAACATTTTAAATTACGCTTGTACATGTTCTATACTGTGAGTGAGAAGTCAGGAAATAAAGGACTGCATGTAGTATATTTAGAGCTTTACTGAATATCTGCATGCATAAAAAGCACAAGAAGGAACCCCGGTAACACTTTACAATACTGTTTTGTAGTTAATAAGTAACTAATCAGGAGCTAAGCAGGAACGAATGAGTAGTTCTGCATTAATGCTTAAGTAACTACTCTTAAAACCCAAAGACTACTAGTTAACTACTCAGTAGGTAGTAGTGAATTAATGATAAGAGTAGTTCACTATTAACTAAACAATAACTACTGAGTCTCATAGA